AAAATTATTCTTGAAATTAAATAAGTCAAACTAATCATATTCTAACCATAATTTTTATTATTTTTTAACCCAGTTAATGTTTTATAAACTTAAATTAGGATTTAGATAAATTAAATTAAACTTTAGTTTTTAATTTAACTTAATTTATTTGCACATTTAATAGTTTGATTTAGTGTTTATTTTGTTTTAATTTTTAAAAATTTATTCTACATGATAATCTCTAAATTATTTTATATAGAAAATTTAGTCATAAACTTTCTCTCACACATATCAATATCATACACATATAAAAAATAATTCACAATAAAATAAATGAAATATAACAAAATTTTGCATAATCAATTCATCTAAAAAAATTTAAAATAAATATTAACTAACTATGTTAACAAATTGTTGTATAAAATAAATTGTTAATTTTAAATCTTACAAAGCTATTTTTAACAGGCATATTCGGTCCATCAAATTCCCACTTACTCGCTTTATTGTATACTAAGTTGTGTGCTTTTCACATTATTTTAACTTAAATTGTTTTTGCCACCAAAGTATTCAAATTTTAAGACAAAAAAAAACTAATTTTTTTCACAATTTTGTTCCTTCGTTAATGCTAAAGTTTTATTGAAGGAGTTTACTAATATTAATCTTCATGATTGATTTTATATATTATAAGTGATAACTTTGGTGAGTTGAGCCTTGAGGGATCTGTATTATATATAGATATATAAAAGTTATCAAATATTAAAATTTCAATAAATAATAAATTTTTAATATTTATTCACTTCAATCTTTTTCATAAAAATAATTAATTAATTTATTAAAAATAAGTATATATCATAATTTTAAAAATATTTATAATGTTAAATGATTAAATTAGTGATTTATACATTAATTTAATGAAAATGTTTATTTAAAGTCAGTTTAAATTTAGAGTAATAATATTAGTATATAACTTTGCTAAAAAGGGGGTGTGGATGGTGTTGATTAAGGAGAGTAGCTCACAGTTCACATGATTATTGTCTGGTAACGAGAGAGAGGATAAGGGTGGAGGAAGGCATGGTTGTATCTGACAGAGGAACACGCACAAAGAGAAGGGGAGGGGGGGTGGGGTCCACCATGAGAATGCTTTGGATTGAGTAGAGAGCATAGCATAGGAGAAGGAGAAGACCGACAAAGAGCATCTCTGTAAGCATGACTTGCCTTGTTTGATGCAAATTGCTTTCCTCTTATGCCCTTTTTTTTAATCTCAGTTTCAGCAAACTCTCCGGCGCTTCTGCAGCAACGCGTTGCTTTCCTCTGTCTTTGTATGCTCTGTAATATGCGGTCAACCCCGTGCTCTCCACCAACCCCTTACACCCTGTCTCTGTCTCTTCGCTTTGTTTCCTCATCCATTATCCATCTATCATCGCCCCCTTCCTCCAAACCCTATCACTTTCCACCACTCTCCTTTTCATAAAGCTACCTACCACTTACACTCTGTTTTAATTCAAGTAATTTTAAATAAATAAAAAGTATTCAAGTAAAATCTAATTTTGCAATCACATTAATTCCATGCAGTGGTAGTGCGCGCATAAATGTGATATCTTTGTTCACTATATTGTCAACTAAACTTGAGATTGCATCTTTCCCTTAAATGCTTTAACCCGCCAGTTGTCCCGTACATGTGCCCCTTCGCACATAATTAAAGTTCTTTTTCGACTTCAACAATTTCTTTTAAAAGTTGGATCAACTAATCTCACATTTTATGAAAAATTATTAAATGATATGGATATTTAAATTTAACAACTTAAAAACTAATGTTAACTGATGCTGAGTATTATAATGTGCAATTCCTAGCTAGATCCTAAGAAATTAGCAAATAATATGGCGCATGCATGTATGGCTTTGAATTTTGTATCAATAGCTAGCTAGCTTTAACCTAATGGCAACGTGAAAATCTGCTAAATTCCTTTCTTATTTTTTTGAATCTTACATCCGTAGTTGTTTTACTTTTTTTAATTATCACAGATGTTGGACTCTAGTTCATTAACCTTCTTGCATCATATATATTCCAGTTCAGCAGCCGGGGCCAAAATATACAATTAATAAAACTAGTTTAGGTCATGCTTGGCTTCGGCAAATTAAATAATAAGACTGAGTAGAGTAGTCCAGGAAAGTAAAGATAAAAAATTTCACTAGAATTGACCCGACAGAAGCGGGTGAAAACGCATGTGTCATGCTCTTACAGCAGGTGGGCCTCAATTTTAAGGTTAGACTTTGAGAAGATTAAAGACAGTTTGCAGACGACCCAAGTGTGCATGTGGCGCTTCATGGAAAACTGAAGCATAAGTATCTCATATCACAGCCTCTCTCGATGCACACTGGACCAGTTATGCCTGCTAGCTATTTCTACTGTTTCATTTATATAAACAAGTCTGTCATACCATCGAAGTTCCCGTTTGTGTTTGGATATTCTCAGGAAAAAAGACCTAAGAAAGTGCTTCAAAGTTCAAAACCATTTAGAGGCTAACCTGATGTTCTTCTTGCTCCATCATATTTGTTATAATTGTTCCATGTAAATTAAATGAAATAAATTCAGCCAGTCTTAGAACATGAGGTCTTCAGTTCTAACTTACATAGTGGATCGATATGATCAGCTAGCTATCTTGTATCATTTTTATTTAATTTGTCATGAAAAATAATCAAATATTCACTGTCACAGACAAATTATCAGCTACTCACAAATAAAATAAAATAATATAACTCACCAAAATAACAAAATTATAAGCTATGCTCATCTCATCGGGTTTGCCAACATATAAATGTGTTGCACTATCTAATCTTACTTCATACGCTTGTGCATACATACACATTATTTCAAGCATTCTTTTACTAAAATTTTAGTGAAAAATACAATTAGTGAGAAAGCTTAATTCAAATTACCATGCTTCTTTTAATGACATGCTATTTTAATATTGATCCTTAATGACATACTGTTTTTTATATCACTTTCTCTATTTCTTAATCTTTATGAACACCTTAAACGTCAAACAATTCGAAATAGAAAAGTGATATCTAGGGTTTTCTTTTACAAAAAAATATAAATTTATCAAATACTATTAGCTTTACTGAATTTTGTATAATTACATTTAGTTAAATTACCATTTTACTCAATCAATATTTCTTCGACTTCATATTATTTCTTAAAAAATATATTAATTACACAAATTATCATGATAAAATTATTTGTTTTAGAAAAATATTCTTATGAAAAAAAGTTAGAATATGATTATGAATTTATTTAAGTATATAAGTGAGATACCAATATTTAAATAAAGATATTATTAAAAATAATTATTCTTTTATTTGTTTAAGTGATAAATATTTTTATACAAACTAAAATACCAAAAAGCATAAAATATAAAATAAGAGTATTTTATTTTGTTATTGATTAAGACAGAATAAGTAATGAATAATAATATTTTAAAATGTAATTAGTGTCTTCATCTCCACTACGTACAAAAGCATGTCATATGCATTCTAAGGGTTAAACTTTGAATTTACCTCTGTTAATATAAATTTTTGTCTAGCATGAAATTAAACTTGTTCATATAAATTAACATTGTGCGTCTATACTAATAACATGCATCACATTAATAGATAATTTTATTGATACGAAAAATCGATCTACACTATTAATAATAATATTATATGGGTAGACTTGTAATGCTTATATTGATAATTTAATTTTTATTTATAATGCTAAAATTTATACTGTTCTTATTAAATTTTTAAAATTGATTGACAAACTAAAGTGTTTCTCTAAAATGACTTATAATTTGAAATAAATGGAGCCAAGGCTATGTTCAAACATTTAATGTAGAATGAAAGGTAATAAAAATAAATAAACAAAACTATCATTGTATTGTTAAAACAATTTATGATAAAATTAAATAAAAGAATCGTTTCTCCCATTCTCAAAAATAAAAAAATTATATATATATATAGTGAGAGAGAATAAAATGATTTTTTTATTTTATTTTAAATAACTAAAAAATGAACATAAGGTATTGTTTTACTTGTTTTATCAATTTAAATACAATCGTAGTGTAAATATTAAAAATACAATTAAATATTTTTATTATCATTTTCTGCATATAGCATTAATATTTGAATTTGTAAGAGTATTTTTAAACAACTTTTGTAGAGATCAGTTATTTTCTAATCATATTAAGTAATTTTTTCATATATATTTATTTTTAGTTTAATGTTAATTTAAATTTTATAAATTATTTTTTATTTTATTTAATATAATAAAATATTTATTAATAATTAAAATATTACTATTTTAAATTTTAAAAAATTATATATTTTTAATTAATTATCTAAAAATTTAAATTTTGTGATGTGTGTAATACAGAGGAAATTTATTAGTTAAGATTAATGTTAAATATTACTGAAACATTGTGCTAAGAGAGAGAAAGAGAGTGATGGGGACCCATCCACCGCCCATAAGCACGCAGTCTTTCTGCAATCAAATCTAGTTTCGATCTGCTCTTCTCAATCTAACCCTAACCCAACTCTACTTCCTAAGATAAGAGTGTAAACCGCAACCTCTATCCTCTTTTTCTTTCTCCACTCTCTCATCAAACGGAACTCCAATTTACACCCTTCACGATTTAAAGCTGTGTGCAGAGGCTGGTTGAAGTAAAAGTCAATTAAGCTCAATCACAACTTGGTGCGCGCCCTGGTCTACACCAATTTCGATCTTGCATCTTCTTTTCCTTCTACAATCAGTTTCATCAAATTAACAAGATCTTCAAGAAACCAGCTAGAAAACATCAAAAGCATCAACAATCAGGAGAGAGTACTCACTGCTCATATATAATTATTTGGATCCACTTCATATTTTGTTTCTTTCATCTATATACATATTGGAATTGGAAAATTAATATCTATTTCTCTGCATATGCAAATGAAGTATTTATAAGAGGTAATAGTTCTCCCTCAAGTATAGATTATTATACATGGATCCAATCACAGCACACGGGCATTCTCTTCCTCCTCCTTTCCACACAGCAAGAGATCTCCACCTGCACCACCAGCCACAGCAACATCAACATCAATTCCAAACTCTAAACCAAGCCACAGAAGATGAGCAAAGCGGAAGCAGTGGAGGCCTAAACCTAACCCAGAAAAGGGAACGTGAAGAAACAAGCAACAACAACAACAGTAGCGAAGGAAAAGAACTTGCAGGTGAAGGTGAGATATCAAGAAGGCCTCGAGGAAGACCAGCTGGGTCAAAGAACAAACCGAAACCACCCATTATCATCACACGTGACAGTGCTAATGCTCTAAGAACCCACATGATGGAAGTAGCAGATGGTTGTGACATCGTTGAAAGCGTGTCAAACTTCGCTGGAAGGCGCCAAAGAGGGGTTTGCATCATGAGTGGCACTGGAACAGTCACCAACGTTACTCTCAGGCAACCGGCTTCTTCCGGTGCTGTTGTCACTCTTCACGGAAGGTTCGAGATCTTGTCCCTTTCTGGGTCGTTTTTGCCGCCACCGGCTCCACCGGCTGCTTCCGGTTTGACCATTTATTTGGCGGGTGGACAAGGACAGGTTGTAGGAGGAAGTGTTGTGGGCACACTGGTTGCTTCGGGGCCTGTGGTGATTATGGCTGCTTCGTTTAGCAACGCTGCTTATGAGAGACTTCCTTTGGAAGATGAGGATCCTTCGATGCCAATGCAAGGAGGTTCAGTTGGATCTCCTAGTGCAAGTGGTGTTGCTCAACAACAGCTTTTGGGAGGAGATGCTACTGCTCCACTTTTCCATGGTTTGCCTCCTAATCTTCTCAATTCTATTCAAATGCCATCTGAAGCATTTTGGCCATCTGCACGCCCTCCATACTAATCACCTTAATTAAACGCTTATCTAGTCAATAAGTTATTATCTTGCCAGAGACTATTCATAATTATGTTTCATTGTGGGGCTTACTCTTCATGACTTACTGAAATAAAGTTAGAAAAAACTTCCACGAGCTTTTCTAAATGCCCTCTCGTCAATGTCACCATAGTTCCATGCTAATGTTGTCTTTCTCTCTTCAGTTTAGCTTTTGTTGTCTTTCTGGGATTGTGAGATTGTGAGAAATTTGCTGAACTCTTCAGTTAGGGATGTTGAACGTACGGTTGAGGTTTCATGCTTCTTTAGAATTAGTGTGTCGTTTTGATATATGTTTTCTTTTCCTTGTATTCGAGACTGTAATTAAATTGATGAATCTATATCCTAGGTGAGTTTGATTCCGTTGATGAAAAGAATAATGGGGTGCTTTTGTGTTCGTCTCATAATTATAAGCGCATCATCCAACGGTTTTCAGTTTGTGTCGCGGTTACTGAAGGTAACGTAAATGTACGACCACAGTTTTTTGTCGTTCAGTAATAATCAAACTACTTGACAAATTACTACGGTAGAGGGCAGAGGATTTATACTTTGGAAAAAAATTATATGCCATTTTTAATTAAGAAACAGCAACAAAATTACGCCTAAATTTTGTTAATCATATATGCCTATATTAGATTAGAAATTCTGCATGGCATTAATTTGATTTCTTTATTTTATTTTAGAAAAGAACAAAACTTATTTGTTATTTTTATATTATGTTAGTATTGTTAGTTAATTAATATATTCTAAAAAAAATATTATAATAAAGTCATATTAACAAATGTTTTTAATATATTAGTTTAAAATATATAAATAATGCTTTCATAAAAAATTATGTTAGAAGCTCATTAAAAAAATCGTAGCATTATATTTTTTTAATAATTTATATCCTTTAATTAAGGACCTTAAAATGCTAGTTAACATTCTTTTAAAGGAAAAATATGGGTATATTTATTGAAGTGTTGTTGATTTTGTTTATTAATCAAAATTAAAATTTTAACTTGATAATCTATGATAATATTAAATAAAAATATTTTACTATAATACATTTTTAATTTTAATTAACTAACAATACTAACATAATAAAAAATAATAAATAGTAAATTTTATAAAAAAAAAATTATAATCCTTAATATTATTAATGCATTAAAAATATATGATGCAATATTATATTTTTTATAAGAGCTTAATAGATATAGATTATTTGTATATCGTGATAGATGCATTAAACAAATGGTTATTTTAAAGTGCCTAGTAATTAGTTAGTTAGGAGGTAAACATGCACTCCATGGATATGTTTGGCAACTGGTTCACACATGCAGTGTCTGATCAAAGCTCCTTTTCGAGGCAGTCTTACTCACTTTCATTAAAAGGCAGCAATAACCAAGACAGACACACAACGTTCCCCGCGTTTTATCTAACTCTCACTCTCTTCCATTCTTACCTCCTCAAGTTTTGAGCTAAACCTGTTTTTGATTCTATGCACGGAAGTCTTTTTTATTGCAGAAAAAGTAATTAAAGTTAGGTTTAGTGCACTCTAAATGAATCACAGCGATATGAACCTATCCAATCATCCTCGTTCCTTCCTGAGACTTTTTGGCTTTTTTATTGTATTGTTACTGCGTGCGTCTTGCTCTATTCTGTTGGTCAACGACCATTCTAAAATTCCTCGAGCCAGACACCTGTTTTGTTCCCTCAAAGTACGAATCTTTTTTTGTTTTCTGTTAATTTACTTATGACAGATATAGCGGTAGGTTCCTTACCAACCTATTTCTTTGTTGGAAGCTTAAACATTTGTCCTTGTTGCGTCTATATTCTTATTCTCTACTTTCAGGTCTCCGCCAATTAAGTTTCAAAGAAAATAAACGTTATTCTTTTTTTCTTTTCGCCAATTTTAATCTCTTTCAGATACCTTTTTAGTTGGATAAAAACATTCACAGACAATAAAAATATTTTATTGAAATAAATATATTATATTCTTTTAACAACAAAAATAAATATATATATTCTTGACAGTGCTAGTTGCGATAATTTATGGGAAAATGTTATTATATCCCTGAATAACTAATTGATAACTCAGGATCACGAGTCCACTTAACTAGCCATTCTTGTTGGAGACAAAAGAACCTTAACTAACTCTTTTTTTAGGTTAAATTTTAAATGTATTCCTCATACCTAACTCTATTTTTAATTGAAGTTCATAAATTGATCTTATTATTTTAATTCCTAAATGAAAAAAATTACACTTTTTTTTACATAAATACATTAATTTTATTTGGTTCTTATATGAAAAATAAAATTAACACAACTATAACTTCCACAAACAACAGAAACGGATTTAATGTTTTTTTAAGTAAAGACTAAAATGATTTTTTTTCATATAAGAACTAAAAATATAATATGGAAAACAAATTTATAATTTCTCTTTTTTCAAATCAATCTCTATTTTAAAACTATTAATGAAACGTCAAAAAAAATTGTGAAACGGGGCTCACTTTTTCATATTGACGGAACTATACCGGTGGTAAGTATATAATAATTAGTTTTTAATTATTTTAGAAAATGATGTTTTTATTAACATAGGTTTGATTGATGAATTATCCCCCGTCCGTTGATTACGATTATTACAATTTTATAGTGCTAAAGCAAACCATCTGACGGGGCATCTGTTTCATGTAACTCACAGCAGTCCTCTAACTATATATAAGATTGCAACATTAAGTTTTATGCACTCGATCGAGTTGAAGATTTTCAATTTAATATAAACTTTAAACTTTATTCAATGCCAATGACATGTTTCTAAAGTGATTCATCTAATGACCTGATTAAGCAAAACATCTTGTTGGACACTTTAAAGTTTTACCATAGAATAATAACATGAAAACTCCTGCCCTTTGTTTCTTTTCTCAGTCCCAAGTAATAATATAAGTTTGATTCGCGTATGTGCCTTTATATCATTGTAAAACCTATAGAAGTCATCTCAAGTGACCAACAGCAATAACTAATATTAATACATTGGCTTTTTCTGGGGCACTCGTTATGGAGAAATGAATGCTTAGGGGGTCCACACTTTGACAAATAATTTATTTAAAACTATCAAATTAATCGTCCCTAATCAACAAATCAATTATTGTCGTCGTCATGAATGGCAATGAGCTGTTTCTATTCATGGAAGACGAATTTCGAAACCCATATAGCGTTTACTCCTTTGGTAGAGTGGAAAGAACGTGAGAAGGAAAAAAATGAAATTGAAATTAAAAGAAAAATGAAAAAAAAAAAGAAATTTTTTATTTATTTTTATTTTTCTCTCAATCAAACAAAAAAAGATAAATTGTTATTAGTGTTCTTCTTTTCTATTTCTTTCTTTTCTAACCAAACTGATGCTTAGGGTGAATTTTCTCCCCTTATGCAGAGCTACACAGTACATGCAACCACTGACAAAACCACATTTAACTTAATTTGATAATTACCATGGCCATTCAGCAATTGATCAACCACATAAATCAATTAAGAACCCACTTTTGGTTGTCGAAAATTTTAGTGGAACACTGAAAAGCTTTGGTCACTTACAAACTAAGATTAATACATCCAAAATACTGAAAAATATTATGCACTTGCGCAAGTGTCTACTGCACTTTCTTCAATAATCCATCCCCAAACGCCTTATTTCAGCTTGGAAAGTAGGGCTCGAGACTAGTGTTCGACGTGCAAGAGTCCTTATGTCTTCTCTTGGACAATGTCTCGAGATACGACCCAGCTCCCGTAATGCACCTTCACTAATCATGTCTCTTGCATTTGCTTCTGTATTACATCAAACAAAAGGTCATGGGGCACGCTAAGTTTGGTATCTAAATCACAGATAGGGTGCAGTTAATGCTCACCATGTTGTGCTAAGTGACAAAGTGCAAGCTCAATATGACGCCTAACTAATGAGACTTCATTATTTGCGTTTTGCACTATCCATGGAAGCACACCTTCCTCAATGAGTAAAGATCTTCCAATCTTTGTTCCTGTATAATTAATGTGCCAAAACTTTAACTCACGCAATAAAGATGCCATTAATCATTTATGTTAGAAATTTTGTTTGCAAACAAAATACGTGCCAAATAGGATAGATATGGAAGTAATGCACAAATGATATCATTTCAAAGGCAAAGTGATTATTACCTTGAGTAGATGCTCTTGATTCGCACTTTGCAAAGTTGGCTATTCCGCGGGCAACCTGTGCATGTACATCAGGATGTTTGCATCTGACCATTCCCAGCAGTGCCTTGATACCAGCTTCTTCCTTTAGCTTTATTTGTAGCTTATCTAAATGCAGGAACACCAAACTTGTTAGGTTATTTTGTTTCAAGAAAATCAACTTTGTGCATGAATGCCTAGACTACAATTGCATTCCTACATATGGATACAAAATCTGTGTAATAAAGCAATTAGTATTTTCAATATCAACAACAACAATCATAGCCTTTTCTCTCCAAGGGAAATTTGACCCAGGAATCAAAATTCAAACATGCGACTGTATTTAGTCATTTTTTCAATACCAAATATATATTTTTCATTTAATATTCAACGTAAAATTATAGAACATCCACCTGATACGAGGGCAGAAATACCGTTGAAGAGAAGCATCAGAATTAAGAAAGCTATTTTAGATGAACTTAAGCATCATTATCAATCTATCAACAAAGATTTCATAAAACATTTCATTGATTTAACCACTTGGCTTTCAAATATTTAGTTTGCTAGGGTAACAGTAAAAGGGAAAATATAATTTCAACTAACAATAATGATTGTTTTAAATTTTCCTGTATTATTTTCTTCTTATGCACGGTAGAACTAACAATAACGATTGTCTTAACAAGTTTATCTTCCATAAATTATAATACATCCACCCTACATCTCAGCAGAAGGATCTTCTTTAAGGAATGAGCCTGATATGAATGCATTATCTATGCTGCTGTTAGAATCCCTACTACAGTGCAGATAACCAAAATAATTGCATAAATAAAATAAGATCAACTGTATACAGTTGCCACAAAGATTAGCAATTGCTCCTGCAACCATTCGAAGGGTTTGAGGATCTTCAGCATTGGCTGCTGTCACTGACAATAAATTAATGCCCCCTTGGGCTACAATGAGATCTTGATTGGTTTCTGTTAAGACAAAATTAGGTTTCAGTTGCCAGGAAAAAGGCAAAAAAGAAGTGTTAGTAGTACTCATTTTATATATATATATATATATACTAGTAGGAAAGAAGTGGATGTGAAAGTTACCGTTCATTGCCAAGTTTGCGATAGCGCCTGCTGCAACTCTATGTGTTGTTTCATCTTCTGAGTTCTTAAGCAGTGTAAGCAAGGACGAGAGTCCTCCAGCTTCTACAATCTTCTTCTGGTTGGTTTCTGCGTGGTCAAGGTTGATAGATGTTATGGTTATATGGTCGTTAATGATACCAAGTTTTACAAAGAAGCAAACAGACATTCAGATTGTGTCATAGCAAGATAAGGTTTGATGCATGTTTTTGTGATTATTTTTCTTCAACAGACATTCAGACAACTGAAATTTATCTTTCTCAATAGAGTCAATATTGCCCCCGAAATTTAACTATTTTCAGTCACTTTTTTTTTTCCTTTGGATACAAATTACGTTATCTTAATCCTAGTTCTAGTATCTACACACAGGGTATTTCAAAACCTTCAGCAGCTAGATTTGCTACTACTTTCGCAGCATGGATTCGCATATCAGCATCTTGTGCTTCAAGCAATGACAAAATCTTCTGGAATCCCACTGCAGGAATGTTGATTGAATCAGGAAGAAATGACATCAAATTTGAAAGTAATTTATCCAACAGAAATTGTCCAGTGGTCAACATTCAACACATGCATATGCAATATATACTAAGTAGTAATTACCACCTTGTTCAAAGAGCTTGGCAATCGAAGTCTTCTCTTCATTTCCTGAAGATTTCTGTTGATGCTTAACCTGGGAAGAGGGAGAATCTAAACTACCAGCGTCATTTTCGAATTCTCCTCCATCAATTTGTTGTCTTGTCTGTAAGAGAAATTGCAAATACAAGCGTTTCTAGTAGACAGACAAGTTACTAGGATGCGTAGAGTTAAGTTTGTGGTGAAGGTTAATTTTGTGTAGTTTGAAGCAAGAGTTTAAATCATTATATCATAGTTAAAAAGCGCGTGATGGCGCCATGGCTTGGATTACTATAAGCATAAACATGTCTACAAAATATAATATTGGTTAACATACTAGTGTCTCACATAATCTAGCCCAAACTGAATTCAAGATTTTTTATTTTCTTTGGTAAACTAATTCAAGATATTAAATAATAATAATGATTATACCCTTACCATTGTGAAGTACTTCAGTCATTTCTCCCCCTTTATTATGCCTTTACAATCAAGTCAAAAAATTAATCTGTATCATTTAAAGTGTAGCTCAAAAAATCTTTAATCGCTTGATTTTTATCAAAACTATTAAATGAAAGTCATGTTTCCCTTTAATAAAACATAAACTTTAGCCAATTAACTACCACATTGTGCACCTTAGGTACAGCTTACTTTGCCAACTTCAAAACCCAACTGCAACAACTGACTTTGCAATCTTGCTATTTCTCCTTCGAGTTTCTTTTTGCTATGTGCCTCGTCTTCCAACGACTTACAAAGTTTTAAGATCTCTGACTTTCTTGATGCCTATCACAGCAGACATATCATGGTATAACTAATTCATGTGTCAGATAATGAGGAAGGCACATGCAATGCAAGTGGAAAGTATAAACGTTGGAGGTATGAAAACATACCTCTGACATTTTCAGTTCGGCCATTTGATTCTTCAGATGATTTATTTCCCCTTCGGCAGCATTTCTTAAAAGAGCCTCTTTCTGAAGTATTCTCCTTAAACCGGTCACTTCCTCAGCAGGCACCATGGCAATCTATGATATCGTAACTCACATGTGAGCATAACATCATACCCAAGCTTTACTATTAACTATGAACTGCTATATTCGTACGTATTGTAAACTAGTTTGGCTTCACACGACTATTTGTTAATTAACTTCTTCAAATCTATGTGCAATGGTAAGTAAACAAAAACAACATTGCCGAAATCATTTACTGACAAATCGAGATCATAAAACTGCAGGGAAAATTAAGAGACCAACTGTAAGTAGCATTTTTACTGTTATAATATAATTAACCTAAGACAACATTCGGTAAAACAAAAATTACTACCTCTCTGGTAGATGCAATATAAGACTCCTCATACTTTTTTTGATTCGTCGTCAACTTCTCTTCAAGCTTCTTAATTGATTCCTTATAGTCTTTCTGATATTTAAATCTTTCCTTCTGAGAAAAGGAAAATGGGTGTCAGTACATATCCATTAAGAAAGCATAAAATCAAATCAACCACATGTTCATTGGTAATTGAAAAATTCAAGAAATTACTTAAATAGGAAAAACCTCGATCCTCATAAGTCATACCGTTGCATGCAAGAAATTGACATTAAGATAACATGAAACAGGTATAGAACAAACCTCCAATGAATCCGAATAGTATTTTTGAGCCTCAGATATCCGGTGTTGTGCTTCTACGGTCAATCTTTCAATATCATCCTCAAATGCCTTCCTCTGCCTTTCATGTTCCATTATGAGTTTATCTAATTGTGTGTATAGCCTTCTACACAAGCTTTTGTAATCAAATTCCTCCTTCAATTTTACCATGTTTTTCACCTCCATAGCCCAACAGAGCACAAATGTTAAGCATTATTAAAATTGATGCACATTTCTAGAAAAATGTATATTAATCACAGCAGCACAAGTCGGTGGAGAATGGCTAATCTTTTGGTTAGTATTATAGTATGTTGTAGCAAGCTAGTTATGAAAGATTATGGTCAGTAGCTGCAACGGTCTCGAGAAGTCTATTAAAGAACAAGACAATTAAAATGTGCCACTCACTGGCGGTGTATGAATGCCTATAAATAGCCAATTTAAATCGAAATCTAATACAGTAAACAGCCTCACAGTTACCCCACGTTTCAAATAATTTCTCCAACTAGTTTCTATATATCTGTGTCCAATCATCATATATCAAACATCATACCACAACCTTAAAACTACTATCAAGAATCTTCATATTATTTTTTTTATAAGCACAAAATTTCATTAAATTAAGCACCAGAGGTGCTTAATCCATATCAACAAGTATTAAGCACTATATAATAATTTTTGTTAATTAAATTTAAAACAAACAATTTCTCTTAAACCTGACTTTCTCTTATGCAATAGGAAGAAAATATGCTCCGAAATAATAGCTCTATGTTATTGTGTAGAAAAGAACAATTTCATGTTAAGAACAAATTTAAAGTATCAAATAAAAAATGAAAAGGAAACTGATTTAACACAAGATATTAGTGTTTGTTATGTTTTCAATTTATCATTAAGATATCCAATTATATTATATCTTATCTTATTCTATATAATTTTCTTATGACAAATTTTTTATACGTTTAAAGATATATAACATCAACTTATTTATAGTAAAATTTTATTAAAAATTACATAATATATTTTACTTTGATAACATTTAATATTTTAATTTTTAATAAGAAAATATATTATTTATTAATTTTTTATTATATGTCACACATTAGAAAAAACATATATTTAATTACAAAACCAAAGTATAGAAACTAAGGGAGTATATATCAGCGTTAACAGAGATCAGTAATTTATTTTTAGAAAGGATACTAATTCCATTTTGTCCTAAGCTTTACCATGCGATTTTAGAGAATTAAATTCTTTCGTAATGGTTATTTAATTGAGGAGCCAAATATTTATTATTTTCAAACAAGGAAACTTGACGGTTGTGACTGAAACAGGTTGGCGGTGTCTTTTATTTATTATTTGGTTTTCAAGAATTTCATGTAACTCTGTTTATTTTTTATCATCTTTATGATAATGGAACAAGAAACAAGGATCAGAAACTGTACTCATTTCCTTCTAGGAGAGTTCGCGAAGTGCCCTTTTAACCCGACTAATCAATTCGCTCTGAACCTGCAAGATCTAAGTATCTATCATAGCCAACTTGCCCCTCTGAACAATAGGTGGCTTTGTTGAATGATGATTCATTTAACCATGTGTATGGTTTCCATTTTCAAATGAAAGAGTTGCTTCAAAGGTAATTTAATCCTCCAACAATATGAAAAATAGATACCAATATTTGTTCATGAATTCATAAGGTCTACTTCGAATGCTTCCCTTAGATAGCGCTTTCATGGTAAAGAAGAAAGTAAATTTGATCAAACTCTCATAAAACGACATTTTAAAATCCTGAAAGTAATACCCCATCTCCACAACAGGCACGGTACAACTTCATGAACACGCTTTTGTGGTGCAAACTCAGTGAGCACCTCGTCAAATTCATAAGCATCAGCATCCAGTTTTCTTTGAACCTTTTGTGCTGCGAAAAATAACTGTATATAGATAAGGTAACTGCGAAGGGACGAAATTTAGCTCCACTCAGCAAAATCAACATTTGCCACTGATTCCTTTGCACGAGTCTTGAGATATGAGTTGAGGGAGAGGGACTTATGGGTGTTACAGTGAGTACCATTACTATAGTTGTAACCAAAAGTAGTGGCCATTCTTCCAAACACTTTGTTTTATTTCTTACTTGAATAAACCATTGAATTTCAAGGAAAGCACTTTGTTGATGGGTGCGCAACTTCGGGTTAATGCAGTGAGCTGGCGTTGAGAAAATGAGAGTGAGAGACATAAGCATAAAGAATATGACTCAATTAAGTGGCAGATAGAAAAGGTAGCCAGCCAACTAGCCATGATCATATGTGTTTTGAAACACGTTAAAAAACCAGCAAAAGCAAATTTAATGTAAAGGTTATAATTTAAATGTGAATCCAAGAAATTGAAATTTCATTATTCCGTTTTATCATGTTTGAATTATTAAAGGACGAAAGAGCCCTTCACTATTTGAAATCTGAACTTCTTAATGCAGATTGGAATATCAGTGGTTTCCCTCCCGCGACCGTCATTTTCTGGGATGGATGCTCTCTATCACAGCATCAGACATTGCCATTCAATTTCTAACTTCCCCAAATGCTCACTGAACTTTGCAAATATGGGATAATTACCCAATGCGGTGGATAATCGTATATTAGATGGACTAATAGATTTTGTCTAATTAAGACAGGACATAATTTTAATATAATATTTTAATTTTATTAGTTTATGACAGGATTATTTACTCCGTAAGAGATATTTTGAAAACACTTTTAGATGCATAACATTAAAGCTCTTTTAATTAAAAACCGTATGTCCCTCTAATGAATGGTGATCATAGAGGAGCTAAAGGAAAATTTGAGAGAAAGAGTTTTGCAAAATATTAATGATCTTTACCATCAAAGAGTAACAATAGGCAACAACTAAGGTATGATAAAATCTCCGAATGCTGATGGATGGTAGGTCAAGGCATATGTATTGGGTAGATTTTCGGGAAACACTGTTTTCAAAACAAAGATAAACAAACAACTTTTTTATTATTTTATTTCAACAAAACTATTTTAAATATAGTTTCAAAGAATAAAAAATTTAAATAGCAATCAAACAAGCTCTAAATTTTGACGTTTTCATAAGAAAAATAATTACGATTACGGTAAACACAGAGGAAGGAAATTAGCTATCGGGCTACTAGTAATTTTATACTTAAAAAACGTTATTCTCATAGTTATTACTTATTAGAGATCATAATACTTAACTGTTGTACGACCATATTTTTACATTCAAAATTCATTGTGAACGCGCAGCAAACACATCATCAATAAAAATAAATAAGATCTTTTAAATGATTTTAGCATAATTTTTCAAACGTTGATTTATTTGTAATTAATTGTATTCTTATCTGCTTAATCCAAATTTCCCCAATCAATAGTATAAACTTGGATCACCAATTACACATCCCTTGAATAAAATATTGTGTTACAATATTCTTTTCCATTTTAGCTATCTCATGGAAAATGCTACATAATAAATACTCTTATTTCATGCTCTGAAACAATCATCCTACCAAAAAGTGTATGCTTCGTTAATGTTGGAACTGGATTCACACTTTATCTTTGCATGATAATGATTAATCAATAACTAGTTTAACTAGTTAATGAGTTATCTGAGATTCAATTGTGTAAGCAGTTTTTTTCACTATAAGAAATCACGTATACATACATTTGTCATTAAAAATTTTTAAAATCGTCGTTAAAATAAGTTTATCATGATATTTAAATTTGTAATTTATCATCACTGATATATTCATTATATTAAGCATATTAATAAATTATATATTTTTATAATATTTTTATAATTTATTAAAATATTATTCCTTAAATATTAATATTATATATTATTAATAAATTATTTATAATTAATATATTTTTATTATTAGTGATGATTTTTAATTAAATCATTATTATTAATAATATTAGTGACAATATAAAAAAATTCATCACAGATAATTAATTCGTTACTAAAATATGATTAGATAGATTTTTTGTAGTGCCTATTTCCTGATTCCTCATAATTTCACATGAAGGACATTAACTTAATCTATAGTTCACATACATACAGGACAAGAATATTGATATTGAGTACCAGCAGAACAGGTAGTCAATTTGATTGTAGGTAGCCAATTTGATCGTATGAAAAGTCTGTAACTCTTTAAACCTTATATCCATGATGAATGTAAGAAGAATATGGTAAACTGGTTCATTATATTTTAAGAAGCTAGAATATGGTAAAGTTGGAGAAGGAAGAAGGATGCAAATATAACATCAATAAATACTACAAATTCTCAAACACGGATTGGTTTACCATTTTCTCAACACAAAAAAATGAATGGAGAATTACATGGAATATATAACGCTCTTTTTTTTTATTTACCCACAAAAACTACTGTGTTATAACTTCAGTTGCTATAAATTTTATCTAATAAAAATTAAATTATTAATAAAACTTTAAAAGTTTATTCTAATAACTAACACACAATATTAATGTTTATCTATTGATTATATATATATTAGTGTTGTGTTAATAAAATTATTTGTTATAATATATCAAAACATTAGCATAAATTCAAAGTGTCTGTACTAATAATTTAATTTTTTTATAAATATATATTAACAAAAGTTAATTGAACTTTAAATAATCAGTAGATGATGAGTTTTTTTAGTACCTGATATAAAAATATATATAATACTATTTTAAAAAATATTAACTTGTACTCTGAAAATTGAGTTGGAATAACTAATATTAATAAATTTTGTTTATAAAAAAATATTTATTAAAATTTTATATTTCTAATATCATATTTATTATTATTTATTATTATTATTTTAATTCTAATACTGATATTAACAAATCTATTTTAAATTATAATACATAAAAAAATAAGTATAGGAAGAAAGGAAAAGAGTGTGGAAGAAGTGTTTTTAAGTGATGAATGGGTTGGTGAGATAATTAATTACAACTAGCCGTTTAAGTGACAGTTTTTTATATATGATTTTAATTTTTTTTATATAATAAATATTATTGTTTACATGAAAAATATACTTGATGATATGGCAAAAAAGTACATCAAACAAATAACATAAAAAAAATGATTTTATAATTTTTAGTAAATAATTTAAAAAAATTCAAAAAGCTCAACCACTTTTTCTTACATTCATTTTTTATTCTCTCTTTTTGGATTTCATTTTTCTCTACTATCACATTTCTCTTTTCCTTTATTTTTCTTTTTCTTTTTATTTATCTTTTTCTCTCTTGAACTGCTATACACTGCAAGAGTAAGCATTGACAAATAATTTTCCAAAATAAAAGCATGCAACTCTGTTTGACATAGAAAATGAAATACCATCTACCTCTAAGTGATCAGAAAACATGGCAACCTAGCCTTCAAAAGAAGAAAATAAAATTTCTTAGATTATATTGAAATTGAAATTAATCAAACTGAGTACAAAGAGACAATGGTGAAGTTTATTAAAGAAATGGCAGCCCTAATCAATTGAGAAGAACCTAAAACCTTTGAACCTTATCAGCCTTGATGACAGGATTTGCCTTTGAAATTGCATCTCGGCCAGCAGTTTTGAAATCATAAGAGCATTGGTGCTTCTCTGGGTAGCGATGTGTCCCACAAAAGGTGACCCCACATTTGCACACAAACCCGGTTAACCCCACTTTCTTGAAGCAACTTGCACACCGTTCCACCTCTTTTGAGGGCTCAGCTTGGCTCGATGATGGCTCAGCCGACGAGGATGGCTTTCCCACAGCAAGAGTTAAGTCTAGAGACGGCTCTGTGGCAGAGTGCTTCTCTTCAATACACAGATCCCTGTAGCATTTGGAGCAGAGGTTTTGGTTCTCAGCACTGCCAAAGAAGCCACAATTGTTGCTACACAGCTCCGGCTCGGATGGGATGTGGCTTGCGCCATCTTTCTTTGCAGAATCCATGTTTTGATCTTCCGCAAGTTGTGTTGTTGTCTTAAAATTGTAAGCTGTGTGAATGGTTATTTATAGAGATTGTAATAATGTGTGACTAATGTACTCTGTTGAGAGTGCTGCACTCTTTTATGGCAATAAAAATAAATTTTAACTTTAATTACACTTATTATTTCTCTACTTTAGTGTATTTGTATTTTTTTTTCCTTTAATTTTAATAGTACACTTATTTTTTATATTTTAAATAGTTTAAATTACCTCTTTTACTTTATAATTTTATTTAATAATTAATAAAATATGATATATAATATATTATTGATTTATGTAAATGTACAAACATATATATACACACAATAATTAAGTAAAAAGATTATCATATTTTATATATTATATTATTGTTTTTATTTATTATTTTATAATTTTTATTAGTTTTTATAATATGTCACTTTTCTATTTTTTATTATTAAATGAAATTTTGAGATGAGGAATTTAATTCAAATAATTAAAACTTAAATGCAAGCAACTAAAAGTAAAGGCACAAACGTTGCACATAAGTTAAAAACATAAAGATCCAAAATTCAATTAAATTAAATAATTAATATTATTACCAAGGCAAGGTGGTTAACATTTAATTTTATATACATAATTTAAAAGGAAAAATTATTAGATTCAATTAAAATAGTTTAAAAATTTTATTGTAAAAAATGTTAATGATTTCCTAAAAGAAATACACAAAAAAATTTTTTTTAAAAAAAATAATAATAATTATAAATTTCCCATGTGTGTATTGTTGTCCTTTCCTAAATTTAATAATATTATGTGTAAAAAATATTTTTAAATTTATTATTATGATTATTATTTTATTATTATGTTTTATATACATTTGAGTTTATTTAATATTTAAGAAAATGTTTATCAAAATTTAATTAATGTGAGTTGGAAAATCATTAATAATAAGTTTTTTTAAAAAAATTAATTCAAATTATGTTCAGACGCAATTGATAACATTATTAATTATTAAATATTTAAAATAATCTCTTTACTTGAATTGATTGATTGACAGTTAAAATGTTTTGATATTTAAAATGTTTAATGAAAAAAGTAATAAAATTTTAATTAGTAGAATAATTTTATTAAATTATATTATTTATTATCTATATTTGCTAAAAAGTTAGCTAATGGTATTACATTTATTAAATAAAACAGAATTGAAATATAAATTAATGTGTGTGTTATTTTTAATAATATAGTTTAAATATAAAATATATCATCGTACCATTAATAACACTATTCACATAATTTAGTTTTAGGAAGATAGGCAGGTTAATTCATTTTTACATGAATATTATTTTAATAAAAATAATTTTTTATTATATAAATATAGTTATATAGTTTTTTTTTTGTGTTAAATGATACTAAAAAAGGTAAACGAAAACTGACAATTCATTTAAAAAAAAAAGGTTAAGAAGAAGAGATTTAAAAAAAAAAAATCTCTTTTCATATAATATAAAAATATAATGAATCTTACTTAAGCGATACAAAACTATTTATCAGACTAATTTTTTTTAGTATTATTTTATTATTTTATTAACATATAAACATTTGTATTATATTTTGTATATGCTTTAAATTTTTAAATCAGAATTAGTTAATATCAGGTATATTAAATTTAAAGATTTATATTATGCTATCTAGTTTTGATATTTATTTATATTTTAAAAATATTATTTGTTAAAATAAAATATTATAATTAAATATATAAAAAAATTATAAAATAAATATATTTGATTAAAAAAATTAAATTAATTGTTGATTACTCATTTTTTATATTATATAAAAAGTTAAGCATTTAAATTTGACACAAATTTAACTCTTCTGTACATAATATTAATATAATATATAATTATAATTTAATTATTTGATTAATAAAAAAACATTTTTATATCAAATTATTGATAATATAAGATTATGTGTAATTTATATTTTAAATTTAATTTTTGTTTGTATTTGAAAATAAAACTATATTGATATAAATTATACTAAAATTTATATTATTTAATTATTTTTATTAAAAATTTATATATTAAAAACATTTATTAAATAAAAAATTTTATCATCAAAATCATAACTATAAAATTATAAATCAATTTAAAATTATTTAACTATATCTAATATAATATATATTTTTAAAATATACAAAAAAATGAACATTTAATTACATTTTCAATAAAATTAACATAATAATCAAGAGACAAAACTACACTTAAATAAAAATAGTGCAAAATACGTACTTTAAAAAAAATAAACAAATTAACAACTACTGTTCTACGAATCAACGTCAAATACTTGTTTTGATTGATAACAACTAACAAGAAGTACAAAAGGAAATGGATATATTTAATAAAAATATTAAAGTATTTATTTAATATTTAAAAATCTAGTTATATTAATTTAACTGTTAAGCAATATAAAATATTTAATAAAATAAAAATAATTAAAAATATAAACACAAAATAAATAAATAAATTTTTAAAAAATATAATAATAAATTTTAAAAATTTTAAAAAACAAAATGCCAAATAATATTTTTTTAAAAGAGATTTAGTGACTATATGAATGTATTTAAAAACATATCTTAATTAAGCGTTTATTTAATTAATATTAATTATACAAGGACTTATAAAACACTTTGACTATAAATATTTATTGAAATAGATTTTAAAAAGTGTTCAAAATAATTTATACTAAATAATTTATTGAATAAATTTTTAAAATATAGGTTATTTTGATAATACTATTTGAATATGAAAAAATTTCAAAAAAAATTTAAAGAATGATTGATATTTAAAACAAAAAAAAAGAGAGAAAAATGTTATTTAAATGAAACTCATTAAAAATAAAATATCTAAATATGAAAGACTGCAAAAGAAAAAAAAAACAAAAGAAAAAAGTATTTAAGTAAAGAGTTTTGGACCTTTTATTTAAAATATTTATATAATATAAAAATTATTAATTTTTTATTAAACAATATAATAAATTTTTTTTAAAAAATAAATTATAATTTTTAACATATATTTTAATAATTTAATTAATTAATTAATTATATATATATACATAAATGACTTGAAAAGTCAATTACAATTCTCTCGCTAACTTCTGAAGAAAAAAAAACATAAATAAATAGTATATGTTATGGTATCTTAAAAAAAATTTATAAACACCATACCCAAAAATTAATATTAATAAAAAGAGACACATATTAAATTTTAAAAAAATTATTATATATAATTTATTTAAAATTATATTATTGATATTATTTGTTACATTGTCCTATTATATATATATATATTATATATTAAATTTTTATTTTATTTTTCTATTATTTTTTTATTTTTTAGTTTCAAATAACTATAATTCATATTTAAGTTATTTTTATTTATTATAAATAAAAAGAATTATAAAATTATATTAATCTAATAATTAAATATTATTAATAATAAAATTTATAATATAAAAAATATACTAATATAATATTATTATTTTATTTTTTAATTTTAATTTATTTAATTTTAACTTAAATACTCTTTAATTTATTTAAATGTAATAAATATAATAATTTATTATTAAATAAATTTATTATTTAAATATATTTTTAAATATTATTGACTAAATTTTTTCATGTATAATATTTTAAAATTTTTTTATGGGTACTACAAAATTTATCTAAATGAATATTAATAGTTATGTTAGGTGATAAGTTTAACATTAATGATAGTTTTATGTTTAATTTTTGGCATTTCTTATGATACTTTTTAAAATGTATTTAATTATTAACTTAATAATTTTATTAATCCTATTTACTGGCTTTGGCAGTAATGGATATTTTTTGTTTTATCTATTAAAGTAAAAAAAAAAAGTTGCTTTTTCAAACTTTTTATCAAATAGAAATTTAATATTTTTTTTCTTACAACTTTGATAAATGGGTTTTATAATTATTTTTTTTTTACAGTGGTTCTACACCACACTAAGCTATACAAATAAAATGAGGATTGAGATGAAATAATAAAATGAAAATTAACAAGTTATATTATATATTTATACCAAGTTTATATTATGTTTTAAGGTCAGAATGCTTATTAGTAGGACAAATTAAATTTTGAATATGGATTACTTTATCTTTATTTTTGATGAGACCCCTCCTTTTCTTGTTACTTTCTTAAATTTAGATTTTCTAAGTTCTTTGATCCCTGGAATTGTAATATAAGCATTAATTTGTCTTTGGATGTTTAATAACAAAAACATAAAATAAAATTTTAATGGATAACTATAAAGTATAATCACTTTAACCAAATCCTTTTAAGATATCATAACAAAATATTCATATTTGTCAAAAAATATTTCTTATGCGATACATAAATAATAAAATTGTATTATTGATGTAAACTATTTTTGCATTTATATAATTTTGTCTTATTACATTATTGGGTGAATTTAGGATGTATTAAAAAAGGATAATAAAAATAATTTATAATTTTATGTTTTTTAAACTTATTTAATACATTTTAAGTACAGTTTGTCAAAATAAATTATTTTTTAACTTATTTAATAAATTTTATAATCAAACTTATACAATAAAATCTTATATAATAAAAATTTATGAAATAAATACTTAATTAAATTAGATACCTAAATACAAGTTTAATATTAACAATGACATAAAATGATAAAATGTGTTTGCATTCCTTTAATTTTGTATTAGTGTATCATTTACAAAATTTAGAAAATATTAAAGAATTTTTTAACTTATTCTAATAAATTTATTAATATGTCTTGTTAAAATAAAATCTTCAATAATAATATAATTTATGGTAATATAAATAGTTTGACTTTATTAAAATAATATTATTTTTAATAATAATGTATTAAATGTTAATAAAATATTTTATTATACTAAATATTATTATTGAAAATAACTTGCTAGGACTTTTAAAAATATGAATTATGTATGTGAGTTATATTAATCTTTTAATATATATTATTAATTCCTTTTAAAAGTATAACGGATTGGAATACCTTTGTACTTTGAACTTATTTTTAATAAAATATTCATATTTTAAAAAAATTCCTTTTTATTAAAATTTTGTCATTTTTCATATGAAAAAGTTTATTAAATAAGTAGTTAGAATGCATTTTATCAAATAACTTATCAAATGTTCATAAAAATAATTTTATAAATATTTTTATATAATATATTAAAATAATTTTTTAACTAATTTCAATAAATTTCATGATAAAATTTATAATTATATAATTTTTTATGTATGAAGAAATTATTAAAAAAAATGTTTCATTAAACTATTATCTAAATGCATATTTAATTAAAGTAATTACCTAAATTCACTCATAATAATATTTAGATTTGCATAACAAATCTTATTACATGACATGGCAGAATCACCATAAACTGTAATTTTTGTTTTTCTTATCTATATTTTATCAGTGTATAATATTGAAGTTTTCAACTAAAGTTGTTAAAGGGAAATTTTTATCGTTAAATTATTAAACATAATTAGAATACATGTTTAAATTAATCACAACTATATATTTTATATTGAAATATGTACATATCATAAATAAAAATTTATGGTCTAACGAGTAGTGTTTTTTTTTAGGATTTGTTAATCTTAATTTTAATATTTTATTTTAATGGACATTTAAAAGTAATATATCTTAAACTGAAGCACATTTTAAACTTGATCATATGTAAATTTATACCCTTATTTTCATCCCTCACTCTCTACGTGTTTCCTTTGGGAAAAAAGTATATTTTATTAAAATACATTTATATATTAAATTAAAAATATAAAATTATAATCAATAATTTTTTTTATTATTAATTGCTTAAATTTAGTCTTAAAAATTAATTTTTTAAAAGATAAAAACCATATTTAAATTAATAATTTTGCTATTTATTATTAATTACTGAAATTGCGTTACTTATTTTTATTTCAACAGATAATAAATCTTTAAAATATAAATAAATATAAAATTTTAGATAATATATTGATAAATGTTTAAATTAATAAATTTTAATATACATAATAAATAAATAATATAAAAAAATTTAATAGTTAAATTAATTAATGTCACATTGTATAAAAAAAATTATTAAATAGTATAAATATATAAGTTAGTGTGATCAAATCTCTCTATATTTTTAAGTTAAATTATTTTTTCATACTTACTATACTTATATTTTTATCTATTAATTAAGAGTGTATTGAAAAAAATACATTATTAACATTTATTTTGAAATTTTATAAACTGTATTGATTGAACTGCTGGTTACTGGTTACCAGAATTAGGAACAAACAAATGAAGTTGACATAATTCCAACTAATAGACCTATGAATCTTGATAGCCCTCTTGTTAGCTAAAATTTTTCTTGTCTAGTAACAAGTGTCCCTGAACTTTGTGAAGCATTTGAAGGTGTAGTCTTCACCACAAGGTGTTTAAGCTATATTTGATTTCTTAATATGAATTGCAGCAAATAAACATCTTCCAAACTAAGCATGTGAACTTGATGGAGTCTTTTCTGTGGTCCATCTTCAATTGAGCTAGTTTTGGTCATGTTTCTAATGAAAAACTTTGCTGTGAAGGAAGTTTCATAATAAAACAAGAAAAAAGTGAAAATATAACTCTTTTTTGGAAGAATTGTCACCCCACACTAAACAAGCTCTACTTGTTCAACTACCTGAAGAGAATCACTTTCCGCAATTAATTAATTCTGCTTCATGTCAATCTTTCTTAATTATACTTTTGGAGTCACGGAAGGGAGAGATGATAAATATTTGGTTTGATTGTAATTTAGTTTTATTTAATTTAAAATATATGCAATTTTTATTTTTATTTTTTTGTGCCAATTAAATTCTTTTAATCTAACATCTTGTTGAATTATTTAAGGTTTATCAATTGTTAATTAATTTATTTTTACTTATCAACTTTTAAAATATTGTTATATTGTAAATTCATTGTAACCTCTCTAAAAATTTAAAATTTTTGAGTAGAAAAAAAAATTAGTGGGGAGTAAATTTTCATAATTTTAAAAATAGATAAATTTAATTAATTTGGTGAAAAACAAAATAACTAAATTCGTATATAACTCAAAATTAAAGGACAAAAAAAATGAAATTAACAGTAAATATATTTTTAATCAATTTATTGACATGTATCTAAAAGTATATAATAAATAATAATTTTATTAAAATTATAATATTTATGTTATTAAGTGATTTATAATGAAAAGTGATATATAATTTTTTTATTAAGTACTTTTACACATTAATTTTTTAAATTTTAAAAAATTGTATTATATTTAAAAAGTGAATAAAATAATCAATATATCATAAAAAATTAATATATAAAAATTTGTACTAATTTACTATTTTATTTAAATTAAAAATATAAATAATATTATCTTTTCCTTTTAATTCTAACTTCAGTCAAAATAATCTTAATTTGAGAGTTACACGTGGATATAAAACATTTTATTTATACAATAATTTATTTAACATTTTATTTTTTGTCTTTTTTATCATATTATTAATTTATTTTATATTTTGTAAAGGTGGCCTATACTTATCTCTTTAAAAAATTTAAATTGTCATCAACACGTTAATCTTTAGTCTTCAAGTAGCATTTTCTTACTGTTGTTACTTGATTAGGAAAAGCTGAAAAAGAAAATGATTTAGAAATTCTCACAATTAATTTCCGAAAATGGGAAAATCCTCTTATGGGAAAGGGAAAAAAATAACAAATTTACTAGAAAGTAACAAATGTAACAGGTTCATTATATCTTTCTCCCTTAGAGGAAAGTGTCTATACAATCTCAAGTTACAGTAATAATTGAACCAAAGAATTATTGGAAGAAAGTGTTGTGCATCCTTCCTTTTTCACTGCTCACGCTTCCACCGAAGAAGTTGCCCTCCACGCTCTCGGTCGGTGCTACTGACTGCCATGTGTTCAATTTTAATTGGATACACAGTTTGAACATCGCTGAGATGTCGGTTCCTAACGCCTCTCTCAATCTTTTTCTCTCTCTTCCTAATCTTTATGAAAAATTAAAAATTAAAAATCCCACAAAACAGGAGCAACATTCCTTATCTTGATAAGAAAGAAAAACAAAAAAGCAACAAAGAACATGACTTAACCGGAGCAAGATGCTTAAGCGTGACTTTAGTTAGCAGCTAAATTAACGTTTTCCTTAATTAAATAGTAAAAAATAAGGATAATTAAAAACTTACCAATGCTAAGAGTGAAATCCACGTAGCCGTTACGGTGAAGGAAGGACCAACGAAAACCAGCCAGTAACGCTACGCCTCCTCACACCAAAGTAATCCATGCCGTTGCTACACCCGTCACTCCAAAGCCTCTCTCAATGCTTTCTCAGCTCACCGCGTGGCGTTCACGAACCAAACGGCGCCGTTTCCAACAATTGATCTTTATTGCTGTGCCCCGTTAGATCAACGGGTGAGAAAAACCGAAACCCAAAAGGGCGTTCCAATTTCACGTTCTCATTCTCGTTGCACAATTTCTCATTCTTTGATCGAAGAGTTTCTCGTGTGCGCCACCACCCGTCGCCATCACCTTCTTCGTGCGCTAATCGATTCTCACGTTTCAGGTGGTGATGATGGGACTCAAAATTCTGTAGAAAGCTGTTCATCAAGCATTCATAAAATAAGAACACGAAGCCTTTTGTTTTTACTGATATCGGTGGTTGAGGGTGGATTTTTGCGAGACCAACGAATTTAGGGTTTCTTTTTTTTTTTTGCATTTTCCGATGACGTATTACGATAATGACGGTGGTCGTCGGAGAGGGGAGGTGGTGCCGGACCTCACCTTCACAATCCAAGATGATGATAAAAATGGGGATTATATTAAATTGAGGGCCAGCATCGACGATGGTCCTCCGCCGGTTACGGCGGAGGAGTCTCCTACGCCAGCGAAAAGAGCCGCTTTGTGGTATTGGGTTAAATTGGTGCTCTTATTTTTATGCCTGGGGTTCTTAGCTGTTATTGTGCTCGTGTGGGTCGGTCCCTATCTCATAGACAAGGTTTGTGTTTTTGCCCGTTGCTGTTATTGGATTTGTGTTTTGGGGTTTGTGTTTTCCTTGTCAAGTTTCGATTTTGAGAATGAAAACGGTTCACTGAATTGTTTTTTTTGTTGCCTCTAACATGAAACTTACATTAAAAATTCCTTCCACAATGTATTGGTTTTTTCCTGTTTGTGTGCATTATAATTTTCAGTCATCTATCTCATGGATACTATGATTCTTTTATTTTCAGGAGGTTATCCCAATAATTAATTGGGAGACAAGGACTTTTAGTACTCCGGTGCTAACGGTGTTGGTGTTTGCTTCTGTGGCACTATTCCCAACCATACTTTTGCCATCTACACCCTCCATGTGGTTGGCCGGAATGACATTTGGTTATGGCATAGGGTTCTTGCTAATTATATCTGCAGCAGCTATTGGTGTATCACTTCCTTTTATCATTGGCTCAATCTTCTTCCACCATAAAATTGAAGTACATGCCTTGTCTTAAATCTGGGTTGGTTTATAGTTTTTGTTTGCTGGTGTTTGCCTCACTTTACTAATATGGATCCAACTTTTGGTGAGTTTATGCAGGCGTGGTTGGATAAGTACCCAAAGAAAGCTTCTATTCTTAGATCTGCTGGGGGAGGGAGCTGGTTTCATCAGTTTCGGGCAGTTGCCTTAATCAGGATTTCCCCATTTCCTTACATGATCTACAACTACGTAGCTGTGGCAACAAATGTTAAGTATGGGCCTTACATAGTTGGTTCCTTGGTTGGAATGGTGCCAGAAGTATTCGTTGCAATCTACACGTAGGGTTTCTCTCTCTCTGTCTATGCACTCTTTTTTCTTATACTGGGAAGTTCTGTGTTTTAACTGGTTATTTAAATGCTTAGGTAGGTTATTTCTTGAATTTCTAATATTTGCATTTGAAATTTGTCATCTGTACTTAATGGGTGAGATGATCACTTTTTGCTCACTTTTGGATGTCCATCTCATTCTGTTGATCTGGGTTGTGTAATTGACTTGAATAACTCTGGCTCCAGCATGAGTATGTTTAGCAGAATATGATTAATTAAAGAAAAGACCATTATTTACTTAGTGCTCTTGTCTGGATAAAACTACTTCAGTTAGATGTTATTGTTTTGAGTTTTTAATAACCATTTAAGAGTCCTGCAAACTCCTCATCATGATTTACCATGTTTTCTTGCTCCCCTTTATAGCATTTTGTTGCTTTCATGATTATTCATCATGAAATAGATCTAAAAATGATTTGGTAAACTGACGAATCTTCAATATATTGGTAAATGCCAGACGTGCCTTCAAAATTTATTTCCATTTTGGCTAGGTGGGAGATTGCTTGTGTTTTGTGATTTTAATTTCTGATTGTATTTAATAGTATAATTTCTTTATGTATGTATCCAACCAAACTCAAGGATTTGTTAATGATCATTGAAGTTTGTTGATTTTTTGCTTTCTCTTTGACCACTCAAGTGCAGTTTTCAATACGTGACTCTTGACCCCACATTCTGATCTTCCTTGAATATGACCATGAGAATGTATTAGGTTTAACAAATTTGGTAGGTTATATATGAAGTGGATTATTGGTATTTGGGGAGCAATTGAATGTTTAGTTCTTACGGTTTCTCTCCTCCTTTAGATCTTAATTAGGAATACTATCTATCATGTGGGCTTATGTATTACAACCTGTATATTGATTTTATACAGAGGTAAGAGATTGATCTCTTTCTGTGCATGGCATGTGTAGCTTCTTTAAATAGCTCAGTTTACTGGCTTTTTGAATGCTAAATGGTTATGGTTACCTATTTGTGGTGCTAATTAATACAAAGTGCTTGATTGCTTACCTAATGAAACTCTGAATTCCAACCAGTTTTGCAACATATAGATTGTTTGATTCTCAGTAGCCAAATACTTAAGCTATATTCAATGAGGGTTGATTCAACTGTAGAATAGGATTCAATAATATTGACAAAAAGATATGGGGCTACGGATTGATTCCTACCTGTGGTTTTCCATTGATAAGTCATCTCACGTATCACTGTAGGCCTTTATTGAGGCTTTTAGCTTGTTTGACCTTAAAATAAGGTCAACTCCTTTCCTAAACTCTTTCCCACGGTTAAAAACCTTGTGTTCTTAATATTTTTTGCTTTGAGAATGGATGTTTACTTGATCAGCGATAACACTATTGCTGTCTATTCAATTTTGGACAGTCTATTCTTCCTCTTTAGTTCCTCTGTTTCTTTTTTCCTGAAAATTTACCTTTCAATGCTGTGGTTTAATCTATTTCCAGTAAAAGCATTTTATCTAATAATAGTGATGAGATGATTTTGCCATTAGTTAGTCCTGTTTTTTAATATTTGCATTTTGACATGCATTTTTATGTTACCCCTGTAGTCCACTATTTCAAGTTAGTCCTGTTTATCTGGACCGACTTGATTCTTGAACTCACTTTCTCATTGGCTATTGCTTCAGGGGAATTTTGATTCGGACATTGGCTGATGCTTCACACGAAAAACATTCTCTATCTGCCCAGCAAATTATTCTCAATGTTGCTGGCTTCTGCTTAACTGTGGCGACAACCATCTTAATCACTGCATATGCTAGAAGACGGCTCGACGAGTTACAAAGGGAGGAGGAGCCATTGTTGCAGTAGTCACAACTAGTTTCAGTCCTGGCTTTGTTGTTTCCTGTATGAAGGGTTACTACTATTTCATACTCTGACAATTGGTGCACATTGCACTGCTGGGAAGAAGGGGGGGGGGGGGGTTATGGAGCAATTTCATCCATTAGAAGAGTTGACCGTCAAATGTATTATAACTGGAAGGGTTGACCAAATGACATTGGAGGAGCAAGCTAACATGACCAACACCGTTTTAGTTCAACGTTTCCATACCTTGTTCCTTTTTTTACTGCTTCCATCTCATTTGTCATTGTATATGAATGAAATCCCCGATCTATAGCATTGATTTGGACATGGCAAGGTTCGTTTGTGTAAATGAAATGCATCAGGCAAAGGAGAGAGAAATCTATCTTTGCTATCACTGGATGTTAGTTAACTTGCTATATACGTTCAATTTGTTTACACGCCACAGGAATTATGTTTTTTCTTCATTTATTTATCTCATTATCAGTTTAGCATTCAAGACGGAATTCGTAGAGCTACTAACACAAAGAAGGATGGTAACGAGGAACGACCCCCGGGTAATTCCTCTCTTCAATATCTGAGTTCAAAGACTGGAGTGGCATAAAATTAATTTGAATTAAATTTAATTATATGAATTGGATTTTAAATTAATTATAAAATTGGTTTAAAATTGATTTTAGTAAAATTTGGAATAAATATCTGGCATGTAATGTTTATTCCAAACATGATGTTGTCAGGAAGGGAAAGATTTTATTTAGTGAGCGTGTAAGTGTGGGACACATCTGTGGATATGGTGGAGGGGCCCCATCAGGGTGCCTGTGGGTGGCCGGGGACCAAGAGAACGACGGGACGGAAATGGTAAGACTTTCTTTGGACGGAGGGATGAATATGAGATTTTTTTAAAAGAAATAAAAATATTAGAAATAGAATAAAAATAATATAAAAAGTATTTGGATGAATAAAATAAAGAGAGACGAAATAAATAGAGGAGAAATGATTTGCACTGGACTGAAGAAGAAAGCTTTAATGACATTTATACTTAAAACCTTTTAAATAAATTACAAGATGCAATTTTAATAATTATATTTAAAACTAATTTTACTTTGATAAAGTTTAAGAACATAAATAATTAATTATATAAAATTCACTATTTTACTTATTTGATTTTTTAAAGATATTTAAAAATTGGGTTTTAAAAGGAAAATTAAGAGGGTAAATTTCTTGTTTTTAATATATTCTTTAATTTAACACTTTCATAAAATAATTTTTTTTAAAATTTCTTAATATTTTATTTATCTTATAAATATTATAGAATCATCTTAATTTAAAATAAAAAGGACTAAACAAATAATAGATCGACACCTTAGTACTAATTGTGTCAAGTAGTAGTTAGGCAGGAGAATATATACACCTTTTTAAAATTCAATACTTTTAATATATTTTACTGATCTGATGAAACATGTGATAAATTTTTAGTTAATTATATCAACACTAAAAATGTTAAGTTTTTTAAAATCTAATAATTAAAATAATATTTTAAAATAACTATAATTAAAATTTCATAAAAATATAGACAAAAATATTTAAATATTTTTAATACATACCAAAAATATACAATAAAAATTGATAAAGAATAATAACTATTAAAATGATATTTAATATTATTAAAAATAAATTATATGATTTTTATAAAAGATTATATATAAGTTTTTATTATATACAATACTAAAATGAAGAACAACATATTGCAATTGGATGGAACGGGCAACGCAAATATGAGCAGACGCCGAAATTGCAGAGGGGTCTCGCCGCCCGAAACATATCCCAAATCTTTAATCTAATCCCAAATGTAATGTCACCCCATCATAGACAAACACAATGAAATTCTCCATCTTCCATTCGTCTCTCGTGGATAAAATACTCAAAGTGTCACCCACTTTTTTCTCTTCTATTTTCAAGCACCCATAACCATTAATAGATCCTATAAACCATCCATTCTAAATTCAAATTTTGGATTCATACTCACTCGTTACGCGCACTCACACTTTGTGCTTGCAGTCACTCACAAATTTCAGGTCCCGTCGCAATAAAACAATAAATTGAAAAATGAATAAAGAGACAAAAAAGCTGCTCGGGCTCTTCGCTTTGTTTCCTGCTGCCAACATCCAAAGTCAAGAATGGTACCTTCCTCTTCACGACGCACAATAAACATTTCCTTTTTTTAAAAACAATAATTGAATTTAAATAATAAAACATTTCCATTTAAATTAAAACCCCTCAAAACTAAACCCGACTCGCTGCTCCTTACTCAGTACTGACTCGGCACTGGTAGTAGTACGGCAGAAACAGATTCTTCACTGTTCGGGTTAGATTCGGAGCTCCATAACTATAACCCGCATTATAACTCACTTCACCTACTAACTGGCACCGTAGTGAAATAGAGATAGAGAGAGAGAGAGAGAATGACAATGACGATGATGATGGAGGAAGACGAAGACGCAGAAATAGAGCACGTGTTTGTTGCTCATGAAATTGATCTGGATTACGAGTTTGATGCAGCTCGGTTCTTCGATTTCACTCGACCAGAGACTCTTGCGGAAGCTCACCAAGCCGAACTTTGGTTTCAAAATGCTCCTAGCTATCCTCCTTCTCGTTAGTTTTATTGTCTTTTTAATTTTTTGGTTTTGTAAATAAACTATTTATATTAAGCGTTTTATTTCTTCATTCTTCCTTCACAACATTATGCAAAATTTGTTGTTATTTTTATTATTTTTCTCATTTGTTTTCTTGTTCATAGGTCTAGCAGCTTTCTGTTATGCAATTTGTTTTTTGGATTATTATTATTATTATTATTATTATTGCTGAAGTTACACAAATTGTGCTGTTGTTTCTCCGCTTCAGCTTTTGTGAGAAAGCTAGTGGTGAGAGAGGATTTGCTCTTGGACAATGTTAGCGACTCGTCAAAATCCGAAAATCTGGAGTGCACGATTGATGTGGATGATGAAAAATCTAGTGTTCCTTTAGGGACGGGATTTTCGTACACAACTCTTCACACTAATGGTATCGTTCATTCCCTTGTTCTGTTGAGTTTTTCTATTACGCTGCAACTCTCATTGTCACTGTAGTACACTAAAACGATGTATCGGTCTATCAACATGCTATCTTATATATTTGTATATTCTATTTGTCTTGCCACTGCTTCCACTTGTCCGAATTCTTGATTGTTACTTACAGTTACACCTTAGAAAACCTGATTGATCTGTGATGGCTTGTTATATTATATAGGTTATGTAATGTAACGTTCTATTTGTTTTTTGCTTTTGTTAAAAAATGAATTGAAATTTGGAATCTTTTTTCTGGCCCTAGTGTCTTCTGTATGTACATCTGCCCTCTGTAGGGTCCCTCTGTTGGTAATCATGCGGACCTTGATGGGGCTGTGCATTGCGATGTTTCCATATTTTTAACTGATAGTTGAAGTTGATCCAATGAAAATTTATGTTCGTTGATAGTGGATATGGTTTCACCGCCCACTACTTAATGGAGAGAAGAATGTACCACCCTGAATTTACAAGCCTTGCTGTAATTTGTAAATTATTCTGCTCAAAGGTTTCATTCTGGCTCTTCCCAAATAACTGCAACTGTGACCTGTACACAGTACAAATGTCTATTCCTCTGGAAGCAATAAGTTGAAAACCTTGTTACGTAATGGGCTTATATCATAATACAGTTGTCCTGTATCCAAGCTTTCTGTATGTGATGCAAACTTTGAAAAGTTCAGAAACACTTTCAGTATTGTTTTACAGTGATAGTTAGAAAGTTCGTCGCTCATGACTTGTTGGTGATGGCTTCTTCTTTCTAATTGTTAGGTTCCAAAGCACTTGGTGGAGATATCTCTAGCTTGTTGGCTGGAATTCTGCAAAACGATGGTGCAAGGCCACTGCAAATACCTACAGGTAACAATATGATACCGTGATCCAGATGGTAATCTGAGGACAGTAAAATTTTTTTGTGGCTTACCATCTTGTAATGCTTATGTGAATCAAAGTATTAATTGATTTACAATCTGAGATGCTCATAATATTATTTTAAATGTGATCTGCATTTATGTTGCAATTGTCACTTGGCTGTGGTAATTTTTGGTATAAACTGCAGTTTCATTTTTACCAAGGATTGACTTTCCCAAAATCTTTAGATGGAGACAATGTATGATCCCATTTTACCTCGTGCTGAAATGTGATTTAGTTATGAAGAATGATAGTAGCAGGGCTCAAATTCCTCTGCCCACTTAGTCATTGGGGCTCTAAAAACTGTTAATAACTAACTCTCCCATAAAATGAAGCAGTTAGGTGGAAGCACTTGAGTGGTTTCATATTTTTAACACATTATTTTATGCTCTGCTTCTGTTATATGTAACTCGCTTATTTTCTCTATCTATCTGCCTCTATCCTCTTCTCTCTGCCTCAATTGTATTTTTCTGTCAGCTTGACATGTATTTGTGTTCCTTTTTTAGGACTTAACTTTGGTAATGAGATACTTGGTGACGGTTTGAATTCTAAGGCTAAATCTTCTCTTCCAAAGAGTTCAACATTAATGCAACCAACAGCCAGTCAATTGGCCAAGCAAAATCGTTGTGCTAAATATGTTGGTTCAAGGTGGTGATTAGAATAAATTATTATTTTTCATGATTAAAGAGTCATCGATTCTTTTTTGCGGGATGGGGAATGTATTGACATTGTGAATTGCCATTTATTTTGAAATGTACCATTTCATTGCATTCTCATTGCATTTGAAATGTGCCAACTAACATGGGTGGTGTTTTGTAATTTTTATTCTATCTGAAGTCATACTTTTTTATAAATACGGCTATAGGAGTGTTTCTGTATTTATTCCTTTGGTTTTTTTCTGGTTCTGAAAAAAACTCGCATAGCCTTATATTTACAAGTCTTTCATTCTCAGATTTCAGAAGCTACTGAAGCTACTAACTCAGAATGAAAGGAGTTTATCTATCTCTTCCGGGGTAGAAAGTCAAGCTGCCAAGCGTCAAAAATTAGAGGGTGGTCTCTTGTGCAAGGTCTGCAAGTTGTTTCATTCTTTCTTCTCTGATTTTTTTAAACTTGATGATAGTGCAAGGTCTCTTGTGCCTGAAGCTCTTCGATAGATACCGGAGTTTGATCATAAAATTTACTATTTAATGCCGTGAAATTTATGCAGTTCCTAGTAAGTTGCACATGATTCATCTTGTAAAATTTCTCCTAGCACTGTGTTATATTTATGTACATCAAAATTTCTTAGGAACTTTTTATCAAAAAAAAAAAAAAAAACTCTTAGGAACTATATGAGAGTAGTTGATATTTTTCATGGGTAACACTGAAATGCATTAGCAGAATTACATTTGGTTTCAATGTTTGGGTGGTAGCATGGAAATACTTGAAACATGGACCAGAAATTTAAATTGCTCTTAAGTAATATTGACATCACATTTATTTTGGACAGTATTTGAAATGTTCCTCATTATATCTTCTCCGTGACAGGTTACTGATGTGAAGCAGCAAACCAATTTTGTCCATAAAAAATCAATGAGGGTATGAATCCTAATGCAGAATGCTTGAATCTTCCCTTGGTAAGAGTAGATAATACAAAAATTGTCAAGTACCCTCTTCATTTGAATTGCACGGTACTCATATTATTGTCTTTCATGTGTTATTCCTCATTTGATTTTGCAGAAAAAAAGTCATAAAATTCATTTTGTTTTCATCATATGACACTTGTTGAGGGGGAATTCATTAAAGGTTAAGGGTATCCACTTTTTAAGTACCTAAACTGTAAATGGGAAGAGCAAAATTGTTTCATATCTTTAAGGGATAGGGTCTTGTTTCTTGAAGGGAAGTAAAGAGGTTCACATGATGCACTCCATACATTTGTATTTCTTGCAGGCTGTCACCATTGAACAAAACTCTGCATGTTCCAAGCTGAAGCTAACTATTCCTAGAGAGCCTGACCTTAAAACAGCACATAGGGCTCAAAGGATAAGGTTTGTGATTGTGGAGGTGTAGTGTTCACTGATATTTTGATGTAGAGTTTTCTTAAGATAATAGACATAGAGTAATCTTGGTGCTTTGCAGACCAAAAAATGTTGGAGAGGCAGAGCACATGACAGTTGATGCTCCCAGATTCAAAGCCCGCCCATTAAATAGAAAAGTTAGTATTTGTAGATGTAGTTGCTTTTGTTTGGTTAATGTTGGTACATCATTGCCATCCTCTCTTCTAAATTATGTTCACAATCTAGATTCTTGACGCTCCTTCATTGCTACCTCCCAAAAGGAGCACTCCACGGTTGCCTGAATTTCAGGTAATCTCAAATTTCAATTCTTTCTTTCTCTGTTCATCCAGGCTTATCACCATTCCATTATTATAAAAGAAAAAGAACTTAACTAGCAATTAATCAGGAAACAATTTATTTCTGTTTTACATATTTTGAAGTTCTGGTTTTCTATATCTACATCTCAGGAATTTCACCTGAAGACTTTGGAGAGGGCCATGCAACACACATCTGCTACATCATCTTCACTTCACTGCAATGATCCTGATAAGGTTAACTTAATTTTGTTCATTCAATTTTAAATATTAACTTTGGTTATTTGATTATGTATTTTTCTATGATTGATTTGCATGTTCTTGTTTTATTTTCCTGTTACACGATATATATGATTAGTGTTTCAGAAATCAAAGTTATCTGATTGCAGGGTCAGGACAAAAATTCTGCTGTTTCTGCTCTAGATAATAGAATTAAGGATTCAAGAAGGTAACAAATGCAATGATAAATCTTCATTCTAACTTTGACTGTTCATGAAAGTTGAAACAATGGTGCTAACTGTAAAATAATGTCTCTGTCCATAGACCTACTGCCATGGGTGCACCAACAAAAGGTGGATTGGGTGTTAGTCATATTTTTAAAGCTCGGCCTCTTAATAAGAAGGTAATGAAAAATCAATAATAAAATTTGATAAGATGCATGGAATAACCTGCTAACCAAGATAAACTATGATGAGCCTGAATTATATTTTCCGACAGTGGGTGAGTTATAATTTCAAACTTTCTCCATTTAAATTAGTTTATGCAATCTTTTATACTTCAATGAAAACATGTAACAAAACTTGCCTGGAGATTAGTGTCTTTATACCATGAAACTTTTCGTAATTATCTCATCCGTACTAGTATAACAGACAATCACACACACACAAACAACATATATCACTGTCAAACTGATTTATTATAGAATGGTGTCATTTTCTATACAAATTCAACATGAGTAACATGTAGAAAACAATTATTCTGGGGTTATCTTGCTAGAATATAAATTTTGGTTTGTATATAAATTACTAACACTAACTTCCTTTCTCAAACTTTGTATCTAGATTTCAGTATTTGTTATGATATAAGATCACAATTTTAGATGGAATTTTGAAAATGATAAAGCAACATACTTTTACTGGCCAGTGTTAGTTAAGAAGTTGCAAGTGAAAAATACTATAATTTTTTGGGATTCAATAGTATCTTCAATGTCACTTGTCATTCTTTGATATTTTTTACTTCTTATTTTCTTTCAAAAACAATATTGTAAATAAGTCTTTTGAAGAAAAGGAATTTTTTCGATCTAGGATTTACATGAAATTATTTCAGAAATAAAGTATCAAGAAAACTTTCCTGTGGAACTCAATTTTGTACACAACACTATAGTCAAAGTTAAAATTGTGAATGGAAGAATAATGTATTGTTCGGTAACTCTAATTAGTGTATCTTATTTATTTATTAGTGTAACTCTAATTTTGTACCAGAGTTGTCTGACTTCTGAAAGGTATCCTAAAGTCTGAAGTTCTGATTATTCATGTTACCCCTTTAGCATGTAATTTTGTATTAGCATTGCCATTCATTTCCCTGTTTTTTTATTTCATCTGCTGTACCTGTATTACAACTCCCAAATGTCTGAATACAGACACTACGAAGTAAAGAAGATGTTGTTTTCCAGAACAGCAAACGGGAAACAGCAGTCCCAGTGGTGAGTCGTAGTGTTTCATTGATTTTCTCTTCCCATGATATTTTTTGGGTATAAAATTTTATTGATATTGCACCTTGCTTCTATTCATACAGGAATTTGATTTACAGGCTGAAAAGGGGGTTCAGCCAAACCCGCCAATTGAACTCTTTGGCAAGGTGATTTTTTTTTTTAATTTATTTTGTGGGCTACCTTTTTCCTTGAAACAATTTAATTTTTTGCATTATGACTTGGTCGCTTGAATTTTCAACTGGCATTGCTACTTACTATAAATATATTTACTTTCCACGATTCTTAATATTTCTACTTTCTTGAAATGTTAGCTGTCTCTGACATCTGAAGGCCAGGCAAATAATGGATTTAATTTTAGACTGCCTCAGCATGCCGGGATGTGTAGAAAGGTTTACTCTCTATAATTTTCATTTTAATAAATTGCCCTCTAATTTGAATTACATGAAATTATTTTCGATTATTTTTCCTCTTAGCATTGTATTGAGTTATTTGTTTCTTGGTGCAAGGACTCAAAAGAAAATATATTAAATTCTTTTCGTCCGGACCAAGAGGTAACATATTAAGCATAGAAGTGTCTGAAGAACACAGCTTCTGTGGGCCTATGCTTTTCATTTTTTTTTTAAATTTCAAAAATTGAAAGTTATGTTTCTATTTTTTAGTGATTCATCATTAATGATAAATTTCAACATCTAGCTGACACACGATGCAGGAAAAGGCTTTTACGTTTGGGGAAAATCAAAATCCTCGTGGGAATGGCAGTTACATCAGTCTGATGAGTGCAAGGAGGTATACTCAATTGACGCTGTGCATGTTTTATACATTTTATGGGTTAAATCACCCCGAAGCAATAATTGATTGTTTATATATATACGGTCTTCCGACTGAAATTATCCAGGAGCTTGGGAATTCGGTGACAAAGAGGAAAAATGTGCAACTGGCTTTGGTATGGGCATAAGGCTTGAACTTTTACTGCTGACATGAAGATTGACAGTACATAGATGAATCTGACAGTCACCTAACTCTGCCGACGATAGGTGTTTTTTATACTGTACACCGAATCCTAGATTTTTTTTTTTTAAGAAATCAACATGATAGGTGCATAGCTTGTATCTTCTGTAACTGGACCTGATCATAATCCAAAGAAAAATATCATTACAGGCGAGTGCTTATCCTAATTGCTCATTTCGTATCATTAGTGCCTGTACGTATGACTCCACAAAATGTGAGGAGATATTTTTCAATTGTGCTGGATCGAAGGTTTGGGTGCTATCCAATCAGGCCTCAACACAATTTATTTTCTCCTATTTTTAGAATGATTGTCGTTCGGACCGAGTTTGGCGTTGTCTCAGCCTTGGTATAACCCATCTGCTCAATTATATTTATAACTCAATCCCTCCATCAAGTTCAGTTACCCTTTATAATTTATTTCGGGGAGCTAATACAGCGTGAATCGAGTTTGACCTTAACTTATCATGACTACATGTCAGGAGTCTAATTTTGTGCTAACCTAAATGGTAAGCCCAACTTGGATGATCATTTGTCGATCCTCTATTGTGTAGGGAGGATTTCCTACGATGTCCTTCGCTCAATCAACTGGACAAATCCTTCTGATTTCTGCTTAACTAGTTTTGACTTTGGCTACAATTATAATTAATATATATTCAATTCTATAAGTTTACGTGAGACAAAGTAAAGAGGGTATCTTTACCATTTGGATTTTCAAGTTGAGCTAGTTCAACCAATCCTGGGTTAGGTATCTTTAGAATTTTTCATATTCAAAATAAATAATAAAATTGCTCTTTTATAGAATTGGATTTGATCGATAAAAGATGTGATGGTTAAATATTTGTTTACCTTTTGTTCTCAAGGCATCTTATAGGAACAGGTTTGGTGAAGTCAAGGATACCCCATTTTAATAACTATACCAGGCTTAATTTCAATATGTCTATTGAATTATTCATAGACTACTTAATTTCTCGTTTCATAGGGAGGGGGTATTGTTTGCATGGGTGTATTATGAGGTCAGCTAGTGATTTGGGATGCTTTTTTTATCCAAAGTTTACTTTAGGTTATTATATGGACCAATGTCTATTTGGGGTATCTGCTTCCTTCGAAGTAGGATTTACTTTAAAGAGTGGAACAATAGGGGGTTTAGTGTAAAGGGTAAAATAAGAAAATATAGGTACTCAATGAAATTGTGTTACATATACTCAAACTATCATCTTGGACCGATGTGCACTTGGGTGTTGATTTTTTAAATCAATATAAGAACGAAAAGAACAATAAATTGGTCACATCACTTTGTTCCAATTCTGTGGTGTGTTAAATAATATACCACTACAGGTCACTAAAAGACAGTGAAAATTTATTAAAATTTGTTGATTCAAGTGAAAGATATTCGGATTTCATAAATATATGGTCTGAGTCAATTTCAGGATTCATATGCATGAGAAAAATCTTATTAAAAAGGAATTTTCGATTTTACTTAGTCTCTCACTTATGGGGCAAGAAAACACTAAGGAAAAGAAAAGGATATTGACAAGGCAGTTTAGCATATGACTATTTGACGACAAGGTAATCTAAATTTGAAGCTACTAGATTTTTTTAACATAAACTACCATCAATTATAGCTTATTCGATCACAATTCACTCAAAACAAAGAAACACATGACTAATCCCCCATTAGAAATATAATTTTGGAGCAATATTGGAATAGGTTGTACCCATCCTACCCACGACATTGAATAATAGCATTGGCTGCTGTAGCCATCATTTGTTACTATTATCCTTGTTCAGTGAGTTGTTCTTAGAGATTTTTTTGCCCAAAACTTCATGTCATAGGCTTTTTCTTCAAATGTTTCTTCTCCCTGACATGCTTCCTCTTAGTTATGGCAATGGCAAGATCATTTGGGAACAAGGTGTGCCAAACGACAGCATGAAGAAGGGTGAACACAAACAAAACAGACACCATTGTTGATGACATAAATGCAAGGCCAAGAGCAAGGCCCTTACTTATGATGGAAGGGACCTGCTCTGCATACTTGATGGTTGCCACTGCCACAGTTGTCATGGGAAATGTGTAAGACCACCATGCCACTGAAAACCTGTCCATTATTAAAAACAAGACTCATGAATAATTTGATATTCAACTAAATTATCAATAGTTGCTTAACAATTTTAGAAGAACAATGCTATATATTCTCATCACAAATCCTTATACAAGATTCTAATTACATAAAACAAAATAGGGAGTGTACATTGCTAATCTCATATGTCTGTTGTCATTTCTAATTAAGTGATTTTTGCCTAAAATATTTCTATTATTAATATGATCGATCATAAGAAGAAAAAAATAATATTTCGATAAAAATTATTTAAATAAATGTAGCAATAGATACTTAAGAGTAGTGGCAAGTGACACACCCAATAATGCAATTTAAAACTTTTAATACTCTTTCCTTTTATAAGTAAGTTTTGGAACATCATGGAGAAAACATCGTACCTGAAACCAGTGAAGAAATTGATCCTTACAACAAGTGAAAGGTAGAGAAACAAGGCGATGAAATAGCAGGTTCTGGATAACCCATCAAAATCACCATAGATATTCTCCCAAGCAAGACTGGCTGCTGAGGGAGCTGCAATAAACATGGAGTAGACAGGGTGTAGCTCCTTGGGCAGTGCCTGGCTTGTTGGCAATCTCTGATACAAAGTAACAAAAACCACAAGGTAATGAGCAAAGCCAACAGCCCACAAGAACTTAGCAGCTTCCTTCCATCCCACTTTTGAAGCCAAAATTGCCCCAACAAAGTTTCCAGATACAGAAAGATGAGAAGAGGGATTGGCAACCTTACAGAGTCTCCTTTTGCCCCCTGAAAGCCACTGCCCATATATTTTGAGTTCAAGGAGAAAATAAGGTGCCATCAAAGTGCACCAAATGGCAGGGTAAAGGGTCTGTGGGGCTAGTTTAGGAGGTGCACCCATGGCCAAAAACATGCACACAACCCAGGGTGCAAAGAAGAAGTTGACTCTAACTGGATGGAAGTACTCTCTTTTGACTGCTTCAAAGTAAAATATGCATTTGAGAATGTAGGTGAAGGAGATAGTGATTAGCACTGCTATGGCCAATAACCATATACCAAAGTTGATAGCTGGGGTAATATGAAGAAATCTGATGGCAGGGCTTGTTGCCAGAGCACCCCACAGAATCGTTTGGCTACTTAGGCCAAGACAAATTCCAAAGCATCCGATAGGAAACCGAAGGAGAAATGGCCATCTTTCATCTTTGGGGAGAAGAATGTCCTCAAAGTCCTGTGTCAAATGCATGTGACAACATTGATATATTTAGTACCATGCAACTTCTAATATTTTGTACAACTACTCAACCTTCTAAAGTACTTTTACCTATCTTTCACCTCATTTTTGTCTCTATTTTTTCTTTCTATTACATCACATAATTTAACTCTCACTGGATATATACACCTAGTAAGTGTATGAAAAACATTTCTCTTCTATAACTGTTCTATTGATAAGAAGTCAACAACTTTGACATGCTTGTAGATTTCTAATTCCACATTGTAGATGTTAATCAGAGCAAGTTTCTTAACATAGGAAGTTGTAAAGAGGAGATAAACAATTGAATAAACAATAGCTAGCATGCATGCAACATGACGTTGAAAATGTGTTGTCTTACTATCACCTTGACTTGGTCTAACTCGGGTCCTCTAAGAGCAGCGAAGTATCTACCAGCAGGAACACTATTGTCAGCAGACTCATCGTAATTCAAAGCCGAGCAATGACTCTTCTGGGACTCCAATTCCCTCTCTTTTTTTGGCAACAGAGAATTCTGTTTGCTGAGAGTGGATTTTGTCTTGAAGATTTCGAAGTCCCATTTTCTGTTTTCCGAATCAAAAGCTTCCAAGTTTGTCCCGCTTCTACTCAGAGCCTTCCTCTCATCTTTAACCTTACTTTCTATGTTCAGAACCGAAATTCCAGTCTCCAACGACACTTGCTTGTTAAAACCTCTCTTCGTGTCTTCAACTTTAGTGGGTGAGTTCAAGTGCTTGTCACCCATTTTTATCATTCTCTCTTCTGGTAACACTTCATGTATGTCCACAAAACGGGCATGGAGACATGGTTGTTTGAAAGATGAATTGATAGCCAGTACTTTTGAGAGAGAAAAGTTGGAGTAGGGAACGAACATCCCGTGAGTAAAAATTCAAAAACTTTTAATTGTACATTATCTGAGTAAACACCTCAATTAATCCTTCAATTTGTGTAACACGGTCATTTTGAATATATATCTATAAACATGGCTTCATATTTTAGTAAGTTAAAGATGGTTTCTTCAGATAATTTCGTAACAAAAAGATGTTTCTTAATTGCTTTAATTATAAGCTATTTGAATTAATTTCACTATGTTTTCTACCATGTATGTTTAAAATTTATATTCATGTAATTCTTGAATATAATTTGTTTATAAAATAAAGCTATTTTTTAATTAATTAAATGAGAATGTATATTCATCATTTGTTTAACTTAAAATATTTTGATTTTAATATACTAAAATTCAAGAATTGATGTATTTTTTAATTACAATTTTTAGAAAATTTATTCTTGAAACAACATTCTCTATCTATTCTCTAAAGAAAATAAAATATCATAGAATTAGCAAAACATTGTAATTTTATTAAGAGTTAATTTTGTTTTTAGTCTCTATACTTTAATCTATATATGATTTTAGTTTATCTAATTTTAATTACTTATATTTAGTCTTTTTACTTTTTGAATTGTTCAAATTAAGTTTCTTACATTAAAATTTTATCAAATAATTAATAAAAATATTACACATTATTGAATTATACCAATAAGTTAAAAATATATAATTATTTAAATAAAAATAATAAATAAAATATATAGAATAAAATAAATTTATTTTTATATAATATTTTATATACTTATTTTTTTATAAATTTACATTATCGATGATAAAATATATATTTGATATATTTTTATTATTTATTGAATGAAATTTTGGAGTAGAAGACTTTATTTTAAAAATTAAAGAAACTAATACAAACAATTACGAAAATCACGCATTCGTTAAAGAATGTTAAAAGTGTAATTATGCCATTAAATAAGATTTTTAAACTTAATTATTGTCGATAAATGAATAAATTAACAGTATAATTTCTGTATGTAATATTAATAAATTATCAAATTATTTTGATAAAGAATTTGACTATAAAATATTTTACAATCAGATTACTATTTGATTTAGAAAATTAGCTATGTAAATATGTGTGAGGCTTAAAGATATTGTTCTCCAAGTCATGAGTATAGCATGCAACATTTTTTATTAATGGGGGTTTGGAAGAACTTTTACGATGTCAATTTGAGTTTATAAAAACAATTTATAATTTTTATATATTATTTTTTAAAAAAATTAATGGTTAAATTTATCACATGAATTTTTATGTGATAATTTTTATAATTAAGTAATTTATCAAATTTACGCTTAAGCTTGTTATAAAATAAATGATGCTTAAGCATTCACGTCAAAACAATGATTTAAGCATTATTGAGCCTTTATCTCCTCCATAGCAAAAATTATAAAATAAATTATTATCATATATAGCATATGATGATTTTTTAAATTAATCAAATTATTGTAAACATGATAAATGAAAATTACCTTCAATTCACGATTTATCTACCTTATGAAAATATTATTAGCACATGAACAAACTTGATTTTTTCAATAATCTTACAAAAAAAATTAACATTTTACATTTAAATGATGTTTTGGTATTTTAAATTTTTAAATTTAAATTCCCTTTTAATTTAATCATTTAATTTACAAATTCAAATATAATTATATTTAAAAAAGTTTAACTTAAACTTTAAAAAATTAATGAATTTCATAAATCTCTATTAATGCGAGATTTTTAAATAATTTTTCAATTTGTTATTATTTATAAATGAGAAATACAATAATATTTTAAAAATTATTGAATTAAGAAAAAATAATTAATGGTTTATGAATGATTCAGAATTAAAAATAATTGACACTAAAATAAAATGTATGAAACGCAAATAACCTCTAATTGTACAAAGAGTAATTACATCAATAATAAAAGTCATAGTTATTTACAGGCAACAAATATGTCTCAGAGAAAATGAGAAATTATATATGTACGAAACAAAAAATAAAATAATAGAAAACATCATCGGCTACAATATGTACACACTGCATGTGCTTGTTTGCTTGTTTGAATAGCAACAAAGGTATCAAATAAGTAAGCTACTGCATGCACATTATAGTTAACAGTATTATGATCATAAAATTATAATGCTAGCTTGGATTTATAAGAAATAATAATTATTAATTTTTCTAAATAAAAAAATAAAATTCAGTTTTAGTTATATTAATTATTTTTTTTATATTCTTATTTATTGTAAAATTTGTGTTAACGGTGTACTCACTATTTATTTATAAATTTAAATATATTCATTCATTTAATATATAACACTTTGATTTAATTATTGAATATTATGGATAGTTTTAAATAGAATATAAATTTATGACATAATTATTTTTTATTGATGTTGATGAATTAGATATTTATTTTTTATAAATAAGATCAGAAGTAAAACTATCATTTTAGTCTAAAATATAAGAAATAAAAATTTATTTTTAAATACAGTAATGTACGTGATGAAAACATGGAAATACAGCATGCAAAAAATCTTTCTTATTTTATGATGACTCTGTCCTTTGAATTCATGCTAATGGTCGTGTTCCAAACTCTCGCATACATTACACAAATTTTATGATGATTTAATTTAATTAGTTTCAATTAAGAAAGACAAACAATGGGTCATCAACGATTTTTCGAATACCGTTATCTCATCTAGTTGAAGCAGTCCAAGTTGATGAATTCTATGAGCAACAGCTTGAGCGATTATGAAATTGGTGGGAGAATAAAATAATACATTGCACAAAATAAAAGCACACCAAAACTCACATTTCTTTAGAGTTACCGTAGAAACTTCCAAAATGAAAATTCAAATTGGGATGGATTAAGTTCAACCAATAGTAAAAGATGCGTTTAATTTCATGTCCATATGGCAGGCATCCCTTCAAAGTTTTACTGAAAGATGGTTTGCCTGAACAATTTGATGGCAGTTTGAAGTGTCACAGAATCTGCCTTTGGCCGGACTAGGCTTTTGTATTTAATATACTAACACGTGAGTTACATCAAAATTAAATTATACACTCTAAATGAGCTATGATTCAACTTGCTTGAAGCACGATAATCCCAAGCCCCTAGTATAAAGGGATTACAAACAGAAGTGGCTACGCGTTTGAGTGAAAGTCCTAATTGAAGATGAAGAATATAAAGTTGGTATTCATCTTCAACATGCGTGAAGAGTTGAAGACTGATCCACTGCTCAATTATTTCTTTAAATATATGTGCTCCTTAGTTCATGCTGTCTCTTCCTAATGACTATGGATAAGAACTTAGGCGAATACGAAGAGGGACTGTTTAATTATTTATTTCGTTATATTAGATTTTGATAAATTCATTCAGTCACTGAATTGTGATTTCGTAACTAAATCAATACTATAGTACTTGTTTCTACCGTTCAACACGACTCAAAATGATCCCAAAAATTTAGTATCGGCATCAAAATCTTATAAACATACAAAAAGTTGATCCCCAATAAAAGGTAAATTTTAAAACGAACAAGGAGTGCTAGTTATTATGTGGAACAAATACACGAGTTGAACCAATTGGTCATGTGCTCTATATTTATTTAAATTTTTTGGTAAGAAGTCACATGTTCTTTTAGTGTAAACAAAGTTCTCTAATGATATTATTACACACCTAATATCGACCAAGTACACAAGTCCAGTCCAGTCCATATATTAGTCCTAAAAAACTGACAAATGACAATTTATTAAGCAACGTATTGTTTCATTAGCAACTTACTTCCAAATGACCAAATCAATACAATAACCGGTTTCCAACATAGGGATCCCCTAATCTCTTGACAACAATGGGAATTTAACAAGCCTATATCTTAAATACCTATATTGAGAAAGACGCAATCTAACTTTCAACCTGCTTGACGCAGATATCGTACCAGCAGCCAATTTCCGAGATTAGGCCAAATGCATGTATGTAAAGGATGTCATTTTTCAATGTTTTGGATCATTGGATGTTGTTGAACTGTAACCACCTTGAAACTCAAACCAAGTTTAGGACACAAGTGACCGGTGGTGAGTGTGAACCATTGCAATCTTTGCAGACATGTCACTGTTCACTTAATTTAGCATGCACGATACCCATTGACCGAGAAAGGCAACCAAACCAGAAAGTTGCACAATTTGGAAGGGAAGAAACACCATTACTGTATTTCTGATTTCTCTTTGAACGGATACTGTGCATTAGATAGCACATTTGAGAGCATAGGGAACAACTAGATTTAGCTTTTGATAGCACATAGACACACACATAGTCACCATAAGAAAGCCAAATATAGACCTGATAGCAACTGAACTGATACTCAATACGTTCAATTACACATCCAACCATGAATGACAATTTGCCATATATTCTCACCTGACCAATACACAACTTCATTTCATTTAACTGTTAAAAATGAATCCTACTTACTACTGGTTCTTTAAGTAGAAAAATAAATCCCGCCTTATTACATGTTAAAACCTTTGTGCCGAAAGCATGAAAATTTTCAGTAAACTTGGCTATGCCCATCAAGTTCCTGTAAACACTAACTGGGCTAATTACTAGGACTGATTTCAGGTACTCTTTTCTGCTTCATTATTATTTTTAAATAACATATATTTGACCATGCATATGCGAATTGCCATGAATTGACTATATATAGAAGTTGGAAGCTTCAGTTTACTGATATTTTCATGAATTGCCATAAAATCCAAGGCAATACAAAGAAAACAAAATCCCTAAACACAAACAAACCATGCTCCATGCAAATAATTTACTCTAAGCTCGCAAATGAATGAAATTTAAAGCTAACAAAACACAGCCAAAGCTCCAAAAAATTCATAAACACCGAACACCCAAACTGAAACAAAAATAGATGATGGGATTAATAAAATGCAGCGAAGGAGAATTTTCCTCCCTCACCAAATACACGTGAATTATCGTTCTTTGAATGTTGGTTTTATGTATGTTGCCCAAAGGGCAACGAGCATTTTTATATATAAGATTACACAACGGGCAAGAGAAAACCAACATTGATAAGTAACCCTTTCCCTCTACTTCTTCCTATACAGTCCAATTGCTGTAACCCGACCCAATTCCACAGAAATATAGTAAAAATTACGCAACATAAAAAGAAATTAAAATGAAAAAAGAAAAAGAAAGAAAGAAATACCGGAACGTGTAAAAAGAAAAGGAACGTTGAGTTGAGAATCACGTGAGAATGAATCAATGAGTTGTAACTTTGGACCTTTTTTTGGCTTCGCTGTAAAGCACCACACCCATGATAGTGATGCCGAACCCCGCCATTCCCATCACCGTCACCGGATTCCTAAATATCAAAACGGAAACAACCGCCGCCACCGCAGCTTTAGCATTCCCCAACACTTGCAACGTCAAAGCACTCGTATGTTTCGTCACCAGAAAATTCGTCAGATTCACCAAATACGCCACCGTGGCATTCCCAACCAACAAGAACACAATAAACGGATCCCCCTTAGCCTTCTCGACGGTCAAACCCAACACATTCCCTTCAATATAGAGCGTAAAAGGAAGCAATATCAACGCCGCCATGGGAGCCATATAGAGAAGCAAGTTCATGGAGTGAAGCTTCTCTGCTTCAGACGTTAACAGAATCCCCTGAACCACCGACTTCAAAGCGCGGCCCGCAGTGGAACCAACGCAAACCAAAAACCCGAACAAGTGAAACAAGGGTTCGCTATTGCTGGCGACGACGATCCCAAACACAACGGGTAACAAAGCGAGGTAAACCTCTGCGGTTTCTTTTTTACAGGTGATTAAGAAAGCGAATATGGCTGTGAAAAACGGCGTGGTTGCGCCGATGGCTTGGTTGAAGGAAACAGGGAGGTACCTGAGGGAGGTGTTGCCGCAAACAACGGAGAAACAGAAGATGGCGCTGAGGGCGAAGATCTTGAGGAACTGTTTTTTGGAGTGGATGTGTTGAAGGGGAACGATTTCGAGGAAGTTGATGGAGACGTAGCTGTAGGCGGCGCAGGATAGCATGTGGAGCATTGTGAGGAAGATGGGGAAACGGTAGCCGTAGAAGCTGAGGAGGTACTTGTTGAGGAGAAGGACACCGATGTTGGAGAGGTACCATGAAGCGATTATCAACGCCGTTAAGAGTGTGGGAGAAACGTTGTTGGATCCGAAGTTGTTACGGAGGTCTCCCGGGGGTGTGGGAGGGATGTCGACTACTTGGTCGTTGTGTGTGTCCAACCTCGGATTGCTCATTCTTCGGGTTGTCCATGTCTGTGCCTCCACCATCGCCAATGTCTCTAATTAATTAATTAATTAATCAACAATGATTAATGTATGAATAGTGGGATTAGAGTGTGTAGATCTGAAGCGAGGTTGGGAATGGAGTTGAGCGGAGTTGAGGTTGAGGCTGAGAAGGGTTTATTGGATCGCTGAGGTGGGAGGGATAAATGGGGGAATATTTGATCCTACGATGGGACTTGAGATTTGGGGGATGGAGGGTTCGTGATCGTTGGATGGAATGATGATTAAAAGGGTGCTTTGGACTTTCGCCGCTGCTGGTGGACCAGAGCTTGTTTGGCTTTCGGAAATATGGCTGGTTTCTAAGACCTCACCCTTCACTTCTAACTCTGTGATGCACATGTTCAGCTTCGTGTCGGTGTTCAGTGGGATACTTGTTAGACTTTCCATTTTTTTTAAAAAAATAAATACTTTATTCTAGTTTAATTTTTAAAATTATCACAATTATTTAATTACTTCTTTTTAATTGGTTCACGATCTAAATTTAATATTTGACCTTCCCAGGACTGCCAAGATATTTATCCAAGACACTCATTTTCTTAATTACTAATATTGGATGTCAGCTGAAAATAATCCGCGTATTATGTTGTTGAATATTGACGTTAAATCAACTTAAATGCGACATCATATAACATTTTTTTTTATTTTTTATTTTACACATTCTTAAAATTTGATAGTAAAAAAAATTATTGTTTCATTTTCTAAGTGCACACAAGACCTTGACTGCTGCTCTAAATTTTAGGACTCTCTCTCGCGATCCACCTAAAATTTGATTGTTTTATTCCTTGGCTTCGAAGAAAATTGTTCAAACATTGGTCTCTAGACACAGAGAGAGAGAGAGAGAGAGAGAGACTCTAATATTTTTGTCATTGGGTTGCTTACGATCAACAGCGTAGGGATTTCTTTTGTGTGAAAACAGCGTAGAGAATAGATAAACTAAATAATTAATAATGTAGATATGGCATGGGCCATGACAAGGCCAATGCGGATGGCATCTCACATATATAGTCAATGTGAAATTTATTGTAAGCAGCGAATTGCTAAGAGTGAGGGTGCGATATGCTACTGCTCCGTCATGACAATTAAAGAATTATCAGAATCTGTGAGATCTTATGCATGTTTTTATACAATTTTTTTATCGATTAGTTACCTGCCTCAAATGTATTATTGCTCATAATTTAATGCGTTCACCGGTGTTAGTTCTTGTAAAGCAAATATCTCTGGATGTATCTATCCGTAAAATTTGTAAAATACTCCCTAATCAGACCCCACTTTTTTCTTGTATTTTCTGATTTTATGACTCTGCATATCTCATTTGCATGGCACATTTAATCTTGATGGGAGTAAAATGCTCATTTACCGCGTTCACCAGCTTCAACCATTGATGATGTTTTTTCATCAATGACAATTACTCTAATGTGTCATGTTGTTAAAGAGAAATGGTGAAAGAATGATTGATAAAGAAAATAAATTGATGAAAAATGAAGCTTTTAACAGAAAAATTGAACATCAACAAATAAACTGATAAAAACTTAAGTAATAATAAGAAATCCAAGTGTATGAGAATGTTAATTGTTTAAAAAAATGAGGAAAGTAATGACAGAAATATATAAATTAATAAGAAAAAAATTGACAAAAAATTAGAAATGGTGAAATGTAAGTTAATAGAAACATAAATAAAATAGAAGAAGCTCAATGCTTTTTTTGACCCAATCCATTCCTCAACTTTCAGCATATTCTTATCATATTTTCTGATGTTTTTTTGTTGATGTTTATTCAAAAGGATCTCATCTTATGTATATATATGGCCTATATTAAAATAATTAATTTATTGAATCTTTTATCATTTAATTCTATTTTACACACTTGTTCTTTTTCCTTTTAATAAAGATTAAATTAAATTACATAAATTATAGGAGGTAATAAACTTGAAAACATAAAGATAATAATTGTTGCATTATTTTGACACATGAGATTGCTTGTAATAGAGATTTAATTTTTTTAAAAAAAATAAACTATTTGTCACATAATTGAAAACACTTTAAACTAAGAAATATATATATATATATATATATATATTATATTTTTAATGAATTATTTTTACAAAATCTTTAAAAGTCCCCTTAAAGCATATCCGGTGCTTGGAGAAGTTGACATTCCATTCTTCTCACCTCCATTGTATCTTGTGCCATTCAAAGTTAATTTAAAAATAAAGCTTTTAATAGAAAATTTGAATATCAAGAAATAAACTGATAAAAAGTTAAATAAATAACAAGAAAATTATATTAATAAGAAATCAAGTGTATGAGAATATTATTTGTTTAAAAAAATGAAAAAAGTAATGACATAAATATATAAATTAATAAGAAAAAATTTAACAAAAAATTAAAAATGGTGAAATGTACGTTAATAGAAACATAAATAAAACAGAAGAAGCTCAACGCTTGCTTGGCCCAATTCATTTCTCAACCTTCAGCATATTCTTAGCATCTTTTTTGTTATATTTGTTGTAAATATCAATAGCTTCTAGATAGTATTAGTTGTATATTGTATCAATATTTCTTTATTCTTTCATTTGTTTTGTTTTTGTCGATTCTTATCTAAGAGGATCTCATCTTGTATATACATGGCCCATATTGGGATAATTAATTTATTGAATCTTTCATCATTCAATTATGTTTTACACATTTGTCCTTTTCCCTTTTACGGTATCAGAGCTCCCATTTGGAGCTCTGCTAATATTGCTTTCTTATTACCATGGCACGACCCTGTCAGATCCACAGTCCCTTCACACTGATTACATCTTAGACCCACCTCCTCCTCCTTTTAATGATCCTAGCCAAAACTCGTCTAGTTCTTTCTACATACACCCTAGTGAGAACCCTTCCTCTATCTTAGTCTCCCCTATCCTTTCCGGTGGGAACTACCACTCTTGGTCTCAATCCCTTCGCATGGCCCTCACCTTTAAAAACAAAATTGGGTTCCTCACTAGTGTTATTCCTATCCCAAATCCTGATGATCCCACCTATCCTCTATGGGAGCGTTGCAACACCTTGTTAATGTCATGGTCTATTAGTTAACATAATCATAATCAAGTCTTAAAACTATAGAAAATCAACACTTAGTCTCAAATTGAAAATAAATAGTACAATATTTAACCATAGCAAACATAATAACTACTCCAAATACAAAACAGAATTGTAACGATAATGTGCACTTTATGATTCACAAAGTAGTAACTCTAGTAGCACCAGTTGTATCACTTTCTTCCTACAAAATAAAAATAATATAAATATTATGAGAAACATATTTTCGTGAAAATTTTGAAACCAAAATTATGAAAATATATTAATATCAACATCTTGATCTTCTACAATTGTGCCACATGCCAAGTCTGTGATTGCATTAGAAGAAGAACCTGAAAAAGAAAGCATAAATTAGTTAAAGTTATCAATTGCAAATGAGAAAATTTTACTACCTTTGACATGATTCCATAGCCAAGCTTGGCTACACATCAATGCCTCTAATATGTTAAAGCGTAATATACTACGATGAGGAGTAAGAAAACAACCACTAGTACTAAATGAAGATTTTGAGGCAACGGTAAAGATTGGAATAGCCAAAAAGTCCCTTCCAATCATTTGCAATGTTGGATATTTTAATCCATTTGTCTTCCACCAACCTAAAATGTCAAAATCTTCCTCTGAATCAAACAACACTGGCTCCTCCAAATAATGGTCTAGCTCTGACTTACAATACGTAGTGGCATTGTTATTCTCACTAACATACCTTGCAAAATTTGACTTCCAATTTGTCTTTCTTCCACCACCTACTTGCGAAACATTTGTGGCTGACCTTGAAGACAAAGAAGCATGCTGATAAGTTCATATTTTGATATATTTTATGATTTATATTTATACATTTAAACCTTATTTTATATATATTTATACTAATTATGTTATTAATTGTTGCAGTTTAGCTGAAAGTTGTTATTAGTGAATTATGGAGATATTCTAGGAAAAAAAAAGTAGATACTTTTAGTCCTTGCTGTGTGATCAATTGAAATTTTTACAATCTTTTTTCCTTTCATTCCTAGCTCATTAATCCTCTTTTGTGCCTAATTAGTTTGAATTGGATCATTTTATGATGTTTGAATTTTATTTGGGCTTTATTTAATTTTTCCAGCATTAGGCAAATTCTGATACTATTTTGGTTTTTGGACCATATCTTGAGTTGTAGAACTCATTTCATTATGATTCTTGATTTGTAGGAAAATTGAGAGAAAGGCACACAATTCCTATGAAGAGATCAGAAACCAATTCTGATGATAAGATACTGAAACTGGGCCTGAAAAAAGTCAAAAATATGCACTCGTGGTTTCTACCCTTGGTGCAGTATTTGGACAATATCTTAGTCCACAGATGTCCGTTTAAGCCCATTCTAGTTGCGTTTTGAAGCTAACATCCAGGGCTACAATTTCTCTTCATATCAGAAATCGAATCAGATAGATCTTCATGGCAAAAAATACCACACAATATCTTCTCAGATTCAGCATGGATACTAGGCAACAATTACAAGCATAACTTTTCCTCCAAAATTTAAACTTGAACAAATAAGGATTCCAGAGACAACTATTGAGTAGAAGATTAATGTAATTGAATAATTATTAATTATTTTTTATATTTTGACGCTTAAAAGGCCTGTATTTAAATTAGGGCAGCAGGTTGAAAAAGGGTTGGTTGTTTTTTTTTAGGAATAATACAAGTTTTAGGGTTTTTGTCTCTTCTTCTTTGCCTCTTCTCTTCTCTCATGTTTTTACCTTTCATTTTCCTCCATTAATGGAGGCTTAGACTTTCATCTAATCCAAGGATTGAAAAAGGGCTATGACATTCTTGAGGATCGGTTTCGTAATTTATTCAACAACAAATCTGGTTTCATCTCTTCCTTCTTTCCCTTTTGCTAATTATGATTTTGAATTAAAGTTATTTGTTTGGATTGATAATTGTGCAGTTTTTTGATTGCATATTATTCGGTTGATGTATGTGATTAATTTTTGAAGGAAAGTGAATTAGATTTTCAGGTTTGAGATCTATGATTAATGGCATTGGTGAATTAAATTAATA